ATTTATCATTTTTCAAAACTTAAGCTCAAGAGCTGTTAACCATGTACAAAATAGATTTTAATGGTAACAATGATAAGTTTTATTTTCATGCAGAAAAGGCACAGTGATTAGCAACTGAACTAGTTACATAACACTTATATGCAAGCTTAGAAAAAAGATAAAGATTGCATTTAGCATGTTTAGATAAACAAACTTTGCATTTTGTGCATTAAAATCTGAAATAATTTGAGGTAAATGATACTTACATTTCTGTAAATGTGAAATGACTTGACACAGCTCTAAAAATCCACACAAAGAACACACATTTCAAATATAAGCTTTCTTTTTTACATAACACCTTCAACATTCTTCTGTAGTAAACCTCCGTGATTAAAATGTTGGACGTGCTAAAAAGATGCAGATTTGACCATCCCGTCCTTTCAGATATCATGATTACCATAGAAACTGGCTAGTCTCACGCTGTGAAAACCCCTGTCCTAATTGCTTGGTCAGAAAATGTGCTCTTATCTTGGAATATGCTCCCTAAATCCAACACTTTAGAAAAATTATGTAATGGGAGTCTTTATATAGTGTGTTCTTCTTATATTTTCATTTTATTTTTTTGACATGCAAGTTAATTTAGATTTATGCATAATTTATTATAAATTTTTATGTGATTCTCAAAAACATTTAATTTATTACTACGTTTAAAGATTTAAACATAACTTGATACATCACCACGCATGTTTATTAAGAACACACGGTATGTGTAACATTAAATACATATAATTAACTATATTTTTATCTTTTACTTCCACTTTCTCTCTCTCTCTCTCTCTCTCTCTCTCTCTCTCTTTGTCCGATTATATAAAGAACACTTCACCCTGTTCCCTGAATTTCGACTTCACCCCAACGTTGGCTCAACGTTGTCTACCCAACAAAATGTATCAAAATAGGGACGTAATTCACAATGTTGGCCCAACGTTGGGTCACCGTTGTACTCCCAACAAACTCCGTCAACTTAGTGGTGACAAGCTAACAACAGTGGTCCAACGTTAGGCCAACGTTGTGTCCTCAACCAACCTCGGCTTCTGAGTAAAATAGTGTTATGTTGACATTGGCCCAACGTCGGGCCAACGTTGTACACCCAACGCCAACCATCGGCCAACGGTCCAACCATTAGCCAACGTTGGGCCAACGTAGTCATGCTATCTGGGATGTATTACTTTTCAATTCATGTATAGGAGAATCTGTAAATTTTACATCTTATATATTAAAGCATCCCACATAGCATACATGGTAGGTAAATTGTACTAGGATTTTCCTAGGTAAAATATAAATCTTTTGATTTGTTGCAAGGATTTCTTGTTGCCATGCTAACTAATGATACTTAGTTTGATATTCTTTTCCATTCCCAATGCACGAGGGGTTATAAAAAAATCCGGGGATTAGTTCCATAAAAATTATATCAGTGAATTTTAACACATTTATTGAACATCATCTTTTCTATCTTTAAATGATTCGTGATGTTAACAGAATTTATAAGATTTATCACTGTTAGTTATCCTCATTTTTTTTTTACAATATTCTAACTGATTTATAAATGAAGAAATTAGTTTGTTCTTTGCTAGATGTTTGATATCAATTATACTGCCAAAACTTATCCACGTGAGAAATTCTTGTTATATCACAAATGTCACTGAAGTTAAGGACATATTAGAATTTGAATTTGTCGAAAGCAGCATGTAAAGAAAACATTACGTAATTTCGACGAAAAGAAATGACAATTTTTTATCCTTTGCATGAGACATGACCTTGAAGTTGAGTAGCACTTAAACTATATCTTTATAAAGTATAACAAACTTCCGTTGTGGCGGAGTGTGTTCCTTTCATGTACTTTCAGATTGAAGAAGCTCTTAATAAGTAAAAAGTAACTTCGGAAGAAATAAAAGACGTGCACTTCAAAGAAACTCATGATCAAGACTATTTCGCAATATGTGACCGTATATAACTTAAATATTAGCTTTCAATTATGGTAGAAGTTCAGTGGATGTTTTGTCGAGTGTTTATTGTTCGTAGCAGTTTTTCCCCCACTATCTTAGCTAAATTTTTAAAACTAATTGTTAAACCCATTTAAAAAAATACCTTACATATATTATTCTGAAAAATATTTTATAAATTATTTTTTTCTAAAAATAATCTATGAAAATTCTTATCTTTTGAGTATAAGAGAATTTTTTTTTAAATCAGCTCTTCAATTTATACCTGTACTTTTAAAATCGCCTTCTTCTTCTTCTTCTTTATTGCAAATTTTCCTTGCTGAAGAGGACCAATAATATACTTTACTAAAATTATCTTTTATAATAAAGTACTTTTTCGCAAGATCTCATTTATTGTAAATAATTGTTGTTTATGTGTTATTTAAACCGAGCTGATGTGAAGAATGTACGTAATTAAAAAAAAAAAATCACTTATATTTCTATGCCATGTGTTCTCGGAAGAAATCGAATTTTTTTTAAAGACTTTATAACGATGAAAAAGAGTCAAATGAATCTCAAAATATTCCATTTACATATTTACACAACATTCTCTTTATAAGCTTCTCTATTCTCTCTCTCTCTCTCTCTTTGTTTGGTCCAAAAATCAAAAGGGGAGTGGGGTTGCAATCCCCTGAAACCATTTTAGAACTGCACTCTGTGCAGTGAACAATTTTGAAAACTGTCCCACTGCTCACAAGATTTATTCCAATGATACATGTTGGTAGTGAAATGCTATGGACGCATCATGGAATATAAAAAAAAGTTTGATCTCCATTTGTACAAAGGAAAAGAACTTATATTCATTGGGATTTTAAATTAAAGATATTTTTTTCTATCGACACGAGACCCAGACGCACGCATTATGTGTTGTAGAACTGGAATCCAACATATTACCAAAAATATCGTGTTAAGATGGGATTCAAGGTCATCCTATTTTTGAGCTCTAACTGTAGTGATATTACATGTACCATCATCACACAATGTGCTTAAACTCTTCTGAACAGTTCAAATTCTTATAATATATGCTTGAAGAAATGCAAATTATAAAAGTTACGATCAGAATTTACATATCAGGTTTCACCAAAGGTAATGAAAGATAAAATACATAATCAATTGTCTAAGTAAAAATGGTATTAAGACTATAAAAATACGTGAATTTGAGCTGCATAGTAGAAATATCAAAAGTGGGGTTTAAAGATTAATGATCTGAAAAAGCAAAAATTATATCCATATTAAAATAATTAATATGTTTCAGTGTTAATATTTTTTTTTATTAAATCCCAAATCTTTGATAAAAGAATTGCTTGGAACAATGTTTATTATATTTTTCCTCTGATTTGTGTGTCATCAAGACTCTCTGCCCCCCCCCCCCCAATAAAAAAAAATCACATTTTTATTCTTTGCATAAGAAATGTTTTATAAATTTAGTAGCAGCTTTTATTATATATAATATTTATAAATTAAAAATAATAATAATAATAAGAGGGGAGGGCGTCCCTTTAACATGTAATGTAGTTCTAACTGAAGAGGCTCTTAATTAGTAAAAAAAAAAATCAGGAGAAACTAGAGGTACTGTGAGCACTGAGCTCACTAAATGATACCCCCGCCTCCCATATGATTATAATGGCAAAGTCCATGTTTTGCCCAGGGAGACCCGAAATAAGTGTCAGATCAAAAAGTAAAATAGGAGGTGCACAATGGCACTATGTAACAAAGATTCTGTGAAAGTCTCATTAAATTTCATTCAGTGGTATAAGAGGAGTTGCGGATAAAAGATAGGCACCCCAAAGCGTAACGGACGGACGGACGAACGGACGTACAGACAGACGGACGGACGGAAGGAAGAAAGGACGGACACTCCGATCACTATATACCCTCCCACTTTTCAAGCGGGGAGTATAATGAAAGGCATGTCCTTGAAAGAAACTTGTGATGAAGACCATTTCGCAATACATGAAAGTATATAATATTAACATTAGGTAACAGGAGTTAAGTGGTGATTTGGAGTGTGATTGTTGGTAAACTCAACTGGTAAGAATGATCCACTTTCTTCACAGATTTACATTAATTATTTGTAACTCGCCTTTTAAACAACGTCTTTTGTGAACTATTATTATGACAACTACAAAACTGTACTGCTATCACTCTGTTGATAGGTAGAGAAATGTCATTAAATTGCGATCTTATTCATACATCATGGAATATGTAATCGTTTGGTCTCCATTTGTTCATGGGGGTTGGGGGTTGGGAGAAATGCATTTTGTTGCAATTTACAATGGAAAGGAAATTATTATCTTTTTTTATCGAAAAGGGACTCGAAAGTGGGCATTATATCTTGTTATTCCTTCGATTTTCCATTTAATATATATCCCTCATTTTACCAAAATATTACGATAGAATGTTACAATAGAATTCAAGGTCTTTTTTTTTCAGCGATACCAATTTTACCATCATCACAATAGGTGCTTATACTTTTTTCAAACAGTTTAATTTCTAAAACCGAATGTGTGAGTTAAAAATGTTGATAATAGAAGTCAATATCAAAGAGTACAAATTATTATTTTTCTATATTAAAGTAATGGAGCTTCGCTTCAGATTTTCAAACTCAAAAGGAACCATCAACTTTTCGTCATTTTGTAAACAAAAGAGTGCATTCCGATCCAGGACACAACCTAAACGAGAACCATATTAGGAAGAAATTATTCCGAATTGATGATAGATTTTTTTTAATCTCCGTTTTTCTGGGCTTTGTTTCTTCTCCTCTACTCAATATTTAGTGCATATTCTTAACTAAATGGCTTGTCTTCATAACCAACATCAAATCAGTAATTTTAGTTTATAAACTTTACTACAGTAAATCTAATAACCAGTTTTTTTTTTAAACATGGAACCCTTTATCTTTGACCATAGAGAAATATGAGACAATTGAATAATTCTTATTTTATATTTATCAGTTTTCCGTTTCTTTTAGCTTTGCCTGGATTGATTAATATATAACGCCGAAATGGAAAGGAGCAAATTATTTTGGCATTTGATTCTTCTTGTGATATACATAACAGATTCCTATGCAGGGAATTCCTCCATCATAAATAATAATTCCAGTCCAGAAGAATCGGATCTTCTGAAAAATGTGATAACTGTTTTGGAACAATTCGTGAAAGACCACGCCATCAAAATGGAAATAATTGAAGACAAACTTGATACCATGTACGAGAAACTCTTGCATTGTAAGTTATCTTACTTTTCGTTCTTTTCTGTTGGAATTTAAGTTCAATATAACGCTACTTTGATTACTCTCTTGTTTTTCATTAAAAAGATGATCTCTACCGAAAAGACTCAAATTGCATCGGAAATATAAGATATAACATTAACTCAAACTTATCTAAATTTCTCTTTTTTTAAAGAAATGATTGTGTGATTCCTTTCAGTAAAAAAAGATATAGTAATGCATTTTCCCCTCCTCTTCATACACATACTCTAATAATGGCTTTATTATTTTTTTTTTAGAAAGTACAAGAAAGGAATGTTTCCTTTTCACACTTGATTAAAAAGTTGCTGTAATTTTCATTATTATAGAAACAACCAAAGAGGAACTATTATTCGTAAAATTTTAGGCCAGCTAAACTTGTAGAGTTTGGAATTGTAAAACATTTGATTAGTTTTTTTTTTCTCCCATGTATTCAGAAATATGAATTGTTTTTTTCATTCTAGTTACCAAAGTACTTCAGCTGGGTAGACCTTGTAAATGAATGCATGATTGATAGATCGTATGTTCTTTTACGTCCTGTTCGAGAATCATGAAGGCCTTGTTAAAAAGTGAAATGTAATAACAATGCAAAATGTAATTATTATCACATTTTCCGTTATTGCGTCGAGATCAATGCAGAATGCAATAACGCAAAATGTAATAACGAAATTTTTAGATTATTACATTTTGCGTTGGGACTAACGCAAAATGTAATAACGTGTTTTTTCCTTGTTACATTTTTGCGTTATTTAATTTTTGCATCAAGGACAACGCAAAACAAAATTAAACAAAATATAATAAAATAAAATATAACTATTTGTTTGGATAGGGTTCAACGTGAAACATCACAAAATTGATTTAAACATATAACTATGGGGGAACCTTTTTTTAAAAAATAGACAGACAGAACTATGACAACAACGTAAACGTTACGGTTTTACGGACATTACCTAATTCAAAAACATCTTTTTTCTTACTCTGTTTCTTACATTTTTTTAATTGAATACTTATAAAACATTTATTTAATTTGATTGCCATGTCTATTTATAAATTAATCTGTATTATACATCCAATCAATGACATTTTTAATCACCAAAGATTGACCATGGGTCCATTAAAATCTCTTGATATGAATATACGACGTGAATTTGTACATTGGTTAGGAAATTAGTGTGTGTGTATGTGTGTGTGTGTGTGTGTGTGTGTGTGTCGAGGAAAGGCAGGGATTGGTTGAGATGTTTACTTCGTATGTTGATCATTGATTTTCTATGCACATGCAGAAATCATCCATTTTATTGTAGGAGAGAGAGAAAGAGAGAGATAGATTTTTTTGCTGGTCTGCAGTGTACTGACTTGTGAAATAGTATGAAACTTTGTCAATAAACCCCCTCCCAGCTATATTTACACCTGCCAAAACAAATTAATAGTTTTTTTTCTGGATTCAATGCATGTGTCTATCAAAAAGCAAAAGAACACTGTTCTATGAAATTACCCCAACCCACCAGTGGCGGATTCGGGGGGGGGGGGGGGGTCGGGACACCCCCCTCACCGCCAAGTAATTTTTTTTTACAATTGTGATTTTAACAATATATTTCATAAATAAGAGAGACTCTAGAATCCAAGCCCATTGTTTTACACAAAGAGGTGAAATATACAACCACCATCAGAAATCCCTTTCCGCTTGAGCGCACACAATACACAGTAATCAACTCTGTGAACAGTACAGAGATCATGATAGTACGTGCAGCTAGTGATGACACAAGGTCCTACTCAAACACCCAAAACTTAGTTATTACGGTATTGTTTTGGTATTGCTTAAGTAATATTCTTTCGAGAATTTTCTTCTTTCTTTGATAATTGAATGTTACTTTATTGAACTACGTGAATAAACTGTGATTATTATTATTATTATTTAGAAAAAAAATTAATTAATACATCAAGGATGTATACTGGTTGTTTAAGTTGTGACCTGTACCAAAAAGCACATTGAAAGTGTTCCTTTCGTAGATGGAAGTTAAAATGCAATTTAAACCCCCCCCCCCAAAAGATCTGTATTAAAATTTTCATTTTAATGTTTAATAAAACCAAACTAACGGTTACAGCTTTGTATAATGAATTGTGGTAAAACTGATATAAAGTAGAGGTCCTGTCAAAACAAGAATTGATCGCTTTTTTATTGATTGTTTTTCAAAACTTTTTTTTTTCAAACATTGGGCTGGTAAGTGGGTAAAAAAAATATATATAAAACTAGAAACTCATTACTAGTAATGAGAAGGTCTTCCGTTATACGACTTCCTGTTTGCATGAACATGTCTTTTCCAACGTCGGTATTAGCCTAAAACTTATGTAGAAACAAAATAACTTAAAAAATACTTTTTTGCTTCGTTTCCTCTCACGACCGGAAGTAATGACGACACACGATTTTTACACCAAGCAAATGAACTGATGACTGACTATAAGTCCTGAAAGTTTTAGAGTTCAGTCTTTTACTGTTGCCGAACAATTGTGAGAACAAATTCTAATTTTGAGGACAAGAAAACACACGACCGGAAGTGAACTGAATAAAAATCTCTGAATTTTCTCTTGACTTTTGCAGTATCTACAGCATATGTAAAAAAAAAAAACAAAAAAACATTTCAATTACTTATCTATAAGTGATATTTATGAGAAAGCTAAACCACGAAATAACGTAGTTTATCTTTTAAAACCGGAAGTTTAAAGTTTTTTTCCGGTGGAATTTAACATATTTTAAAACAGCGAAAGGGAAGCAATAAAGTGATGAAAATTTTAATTTTAAAAAGAAAAGTTGAAATTTTCGATTTCTTTGATCACTTCCTGTGATGACCGGAAATGACGGCTGACGCTTTTAACCCTATGTGTTTTGCCTTCTCACCAAGTTTTATTACTCCTACAAGTTTGGTGTTTTACTTTCATGCCGTTTCCGAGATCTCGCTGAAATAACTTTTCATTTTGTGGACAAGAAAACACGCGACCGGAAGTGAATTTTATTAAGATATTTCATGTCAATCTAGACAACTGCAGTCTCAATAACATATATAAAAATCATTTAAAGAACTCTATCTATAAGCGATATGTTGGGGAAAATTCAAAACCCCTATTATGTAGTTTTTCTCTTAAAACCGGAAGTTGTCGTTTTTTGTTTCCGGTGGAACCAAGACATCTCGTAACTGTGAAAAAGATACAATTATATGATGCAAGTCTTATTTCAAAAGAGAAAATTTGAAATTTTCTATTTCTTTGGTCACTTCCTGTGACGACCGGAAGTGACGACTGACGCTCTTAAGCCAAATTGTTTTGTCTACTTCTCAAGGTTTAATACTCTTATCAGTTTGGTGTCTAAATCTCTTACCGTTTCTGAGATCTCACTCGGACAAGTTCTCATTTTGCGGACATTTAAACGCGCGACCGGAAGTGAATTTTACAAAGATATTTGACGTTACTCTAGACATTTGCAGTCTTGATAACATATTCAAAAATCAGTTCAAATACATTATGTATAAAAAATATTTATGGGAAAGTAAAATACTCAAATTATGCAGTTTTTCACTTATAGCCGGAAGTTGACGTTTTTGGTTCCGGTAAGACTAACATATTTCGAATCTACAAATAAGATGCAACAATGTAATGAAAGAAAAAAATCAAAAAAGAAAAGTTGAAAATTTCGATTTCTTTGATCACTTCCTGTGACGACCGGAAGTGACGGCTGACGCTCTTAACCCAAATGGTTTTGCCTACTCCTCAAGATCTATTAACCGTATAGGTTTGGTGTCTTAATCTCTTACCTTTTCTGAGATATGACTGGGACAAAATATTTTTGAAAAAAACGGAAATCGGACATATCTGACGACCGGAAGTGAATTTTGAAAAAATGAAAAAAACGCCTAGGGGTATTTTCATTCTCTATCATCCCTGAAAATTTCAAGAAAATCCGTCCAGCCATCTCTGAGAAAACGCTCCGACAAGAAAAGGGGAAAAAAAAAATAATAATAAAAAGAAACAGTAGAATCACTATAAGGTCTTCCGTCTGAAACGGAAGACCTTAATTAAAGAGTGCATTTATGTTTCAAATTATAATTAACCCCTCCCCCTCCTCCCAAAAAATGAATAAACAAAAATTCCAACAATTTCCCAAAATAATTTATATTTATTAGTGTTGTGAAATCGGACGATTTTTAGTAACCGGTTACTCACTTAGTTTTCCGATCGAGTAACCGGTTACTCGGATGGTTTTTCTTTAGACATCAAACATTCTTGTTCGCGGTATATACTCAGCTGTAATATATATTGTATGTAATGTCGTTACAATTTCTATATTTATCTTTTCATTTGTATATCAGTATACACAAAACAAAAATATACTGCATATGAACTTTATTTAAAATTACAAACACACAATATATTCTAAATAAATTTGTTCTCGAGCACCCCGTAATCGTTGGCTGTTTTGCGCTTTATATATCGCTGGATTCACAGTTAAAATTCAGTCTGAGGTGGTTCAGAATATTACTTGTCCCACCCGTGTATGGTAATTCCATTTCACATAATTCACACCTCACAGATTTAAATTCAGCTATTCTTTTAAAAAATATTTCGATGCATGTGACGGCATATGCATCTTCTTTAATCTTGTACTGAGGACTAGCAGTGGTTTATTTGATGTAACTATAATTAAATTAAGCCATTAAAACTAGTATACCCCTTGGCAATCAAAGCCATCAATTAGATAAACTGTGAAATACTAATTAATACAAATCGATCGCATTTGTAAAACGCTAGGTCGAGACTTACGTTAAATAACGATAAATAAAATGGGGGACATCATAGACAAAAATACATTATAATTCCTACTGATTTACTTTATAAAATTCAATATATCCGAGTAACCGAGTAGCACTTTTACTAACCGATACTCGCATTGTCCGACGATTAACCGGTTAACCGGGTACTCGTTGACAACACTAATATTTATTCTTCAATATGAAATATCATTATTTGTTTATACATGTATTTCAAATTTTATGAACAGTGTAGTAAAGTAGTTGAAAACAGTACATGTAATTAGGGTTTCTACACAGAATCCAAATTTTCTGAGTATTGAAAAATGTGCATATCAGTTGTATTTTGGTAGTCAGAGCTTCACATGCGACACATTGGACGTGAATTTTCAAATGAAGAATTAGGTATTATGTATCAAATGGCGATATTTCTAATTTTATCAGATTTTACAATTTTTTTTTTCAGAAAAGTATCATTTTTCTTGTTTACATGGAAGTTACAATTAATCCCTAAATGTTAATTTTTGAAAATTTAGGTAAGCCGATCTTGAAAAACAACTAGAAAAAATGTGGCCAAAAAACTTACTAATTCTATCTAAAATGCTGAAAAACGCACCATTTTGAGCGAATTTTTAGCTCACCTCAACGAAGTTGGGGGAGCTTATGTAATACCCTCGGCGTCGGCGTCCCAGGTTAAGGTTTTTGGAGCAGTTTTCTTTTCAAGTACTTCTATGGCCTATATTACATGTAGTCAGAGATGCATGGAGAATGCTTCTAGTGTGTTTCATTGTACCAGTAAAGGTTTCAGATGCTGCAATTTCAGCTAAAGAATGACCAGGTTAATGTTTTTGGAGCAGGTTCAAGTTTTTGGAGCAGGTTAAAGTTTTTGGAGCAGGTCTCATTTCCAAGTAACTATAAGTCCTATATCGACCAAACTTGCATGGATGATACATCTAAGGATGCACACTACTGAACTTGCTTCGGATGCTGGATCTGACCTATATTTTCCGGATGAGTGACCAGGTTAAGGTTTTTGGAGCAGATCTCATTTCCAAGTAACTAAAAGCCCTATATTGACCAAACTTGCATGGATGATACATGTAAGGATGCACACTACTGGACTTGCTTCAGATGCTGAATCTGACCTATATTTTCCGGATGAGTGACCAGGTTAAAGTTTTTGGAGCAGATGTCATTTCCAAGTATCTCTTAACCTTATATTGACCAAACTTGCATGGATGATACATATAAGGATGTACACTACTGGACTTGCTTCAGATGCTGGATCTGACCTACATTTTCCGGATGAGTGACCAGATTAAAGTTTTTGGAGCAGATCTCATTTCCAAGTAACTATAAGGCCTATCTGAACCAAACTTGCATGGATGATGCATCAAGGGATGAACAATCTCAAAACTTGCTTCGGATGCTGGATTTGACTCACATTTTCTGAATGACTGCAAGCCCTATCAGACCAAAATTGCATAAATGTTGCATCTAGGGATGCACACTCCTAGGTTATTAGTTTAGTGTGGGACTTTGCCTTACTTAAAGACAACATTCGTTGAGGTGAGCTCTGTAATCTCTGATTACCTATGTTTAAGACCCCCATGCTCTCCCCCTTCGGCCCTACGGGCCTCAAAGCCCCCCATATGAGCTTCTGGATCTGCCACTGTCCACCCCATCCTACACCTAGCCCCCAATACATGTAGCACCTTTCTTATTTGCAACACATATGATTTGAATATTAAATTGCTTTATATAGCTAATGAAATCAAGTATAATATAAAATCCGATCTTATCTAAGAATATGCATATGTTTTGTTTGTTTTTTTTTATTTTATTTTCTGTCCTTTTCTTTTCTTCATCCATTATTCAATTGAAAGTTATTCTCAACATGACTGACCAAAAGGTGTGTTATTACATTATGCCGTCTTGCCTTTTGCTTAATCTCGACTCAAAATGTAATAATCAAAAATGAAACCCACATGACCTTCCAATCACGAAGAGAACACTCTACTGCATGACTAAGCTACTATGACAGTTAAATGATAGCTATAGTATGATGTTGATCTTGTTATGCAACTATGTTTTTAATTGTATTTTAAGTTTATATGGTTTACCATTTGTTGTGGTGAGTCGCCCGCGTGGCGCAGTGGTTAGAGCGTCTGCTCTAGAGTCGCGAAGTAAGGAGTTGATCCTTACGTCGCGGGTTCGAATCCCACTGTGGGACGTGGAGGCCGGTCCTTCGGATGAGACCGTATAAACCGAGGTCCCGTGCCGCAGTAGGTGCTGGCACGAAAAAGATCCCTCACTGCTCAATGGCCGTAAGTGCCGAGTATAGGACAAAATTTGCAGCTCTCCACCGGCAATGGTGGCGTCTCCATATGAGTGAAAAATTCTCGAGAGGGACGTTAAACAACATACAATCAATCAATCAATCGTTGTGGTGATTCGAAAGCCTCGAGTAGCCCTTATTGCTTGAATGAAATGTTAAGAAAACTAGCCATGGGCTCTTCTATCAGTAAAACGTACAATGATGTAAGGATCAATAAAACAAGATATTACGAACTGGCATCTTCTTTATACTATTATTTATACAAATATGAATGTAAATAGTATAATGTCTATTTTCTGTTTGTTGATGTAGGGATTAACTATTGCAACCATTGCAGAAAAACTACATAAATGGAATAAGCATTTTATTTTTAAATATCCACATACTCCATGCATTGTAGAATCCTTTACGTTCGAATCATACCTATCATAAAGGCTAGGAACAAACACAGTGCGAGTCCATGTTTAGTATAGGAATATCAAAGGAAAATATTTAAAAGTTAAAACCTTATTCTAAAGACAAGCATACAAATTCTCTCCTTATAATAATATGTGGGGAGGCCAGGGTTCGATTCTTGTTCGCCGCGTCAAACCTAAGACGTAAACATAGGTAGTGACTGTTCCTTAGCCAAGAGCCCGGTACTACTAGTAAAAGTCACGGGTCTTTTGCATGAGACCTTAAAACCGAGGTCCTGTGTCATGGTAAGCGTCGGCACGATAAAGAACCTTCACTGCTCAATGGCCCTGAGTGTCGAGTATAGGTCTAAATTTGAAGCCCTTCATCGGCATACAGTGACGTCTCAATATGAGTTAAAATTCTCGAATGGGACGTTTAACAACATACAATCAATCAGTCAATCAATCTTTGTAATAATATGTAATAAGTCCATGAAATGATGACTCAGCTTTGTTGAATTAAAGCGGTCTAACTGGAATCACAAAAAAGGCCGTAAACGTTTACATTGACATACAAATGTAAATAACCGCACATAATATTTTCATCAATTACTTTAGACGTACTTTTTCCTCCGCGTGGGATTAATTTACATTTAGAACGTTGTCAAAAATTTTTGGAGGAAATTTCTTGAAGTGTATTCAAAGGGCTTTTATTAAATAATATGAAAACCAAACTTAGGAATCCGCGTAATTTATAAGTGCAGATTGAACAAAAATAGTCATTCATCGGAATTATGAACCCGTGGAAATAAGTACATTCACAGTAGTTAATCCTTATGCAAGACTCCTCTTTCAGTGAAGAGTGTCAAATATTCAATTCAAAACGCCAAGGAAGGGGTCGAATTTTTACAGTAATACATTTCTGCATTATTGAAGAACGCATTGTAAACTTCGTACAACGTTTGAATATGATGTATAAAAAAACTTTCTGGTATGATCATGATTGTTATTAGAAAGCCGTATGTAGAGTTTCCTTTACTAACTTTTTCTTTATTGTAAATAGTGGTTTTCTTTTTAACCATATTTTACAAATTTATAAACAAAACAATTTGCTTTGCATTGATAAAATTCATGGTTTAGAATTTCAATTTTGTAGGCGGGGCTAAAACTTCACTACACGCTTCACTAAAATCGAAAAACAGCACAATAAGGACAAGAAAATATGCCACTACAGCAGCAGAAACAACAAAACCAACCCCTGCCACAATGGTGACAACTTCAATGACACCATCATCATCAGTTTCATCAACAGGTAATTATTTTATTTCCCTTTATTCATGAAACGTAAATATAACGAACAGTGATCATTGTCAACAGTCCATAGGAATGATACAAAGTTTGAGCAGAACCAAGAAGGATCTCTGAAAACATAGGTAGGATCAGGCGCCGGGGCCATAAAACTTAGACAAGCTCACACAGGATTAAATAGGATGAAATTCTTCCATTCAGTTTAAAAGGTGACTGAAAGTCTACTGAAAGTTGACTGAATTCTTAGTTCCAGGCCTTTCAGAAACCTTTCATTTGAATGAATGGTGTAGGGTTATTCTGTGTCATTTCTTCATTCTCAGTCTAATTTTTACAAAGAAATTAACAGAGAAAAGTGAATCTGAGATAAAAAGTGACTTCGTTTAAGTGTTATGGCCCCAAAGCCATTTGTCATGGAGAAGTAAGTATGCTTTAGAATTAAAATCCAAAATTCCATAAGTTTACAGGATTGTTTTTTTTCTGAATTCGATACTAATATTTATTTCAGGCAGCAGAGGGAAAGAATTCCTTATCCTATTCATGCGAAACTATCCCTACGTATCAGGGTCCGTAACAATCTACATTACAACAGACAATAATACATCCGTTAATATCTCAACTTCCCCTAATTTGAGAGCCAAGATTAAATCAGCAACGGACAGAATTATGAATGTTTTTTCTTACTCCAGTATCACACTCCCTTTCAATCTGACATGTGAATACTTAACAATTGAAGCCAAAGCCATACTGCTACAGACATCTGAATTATCGACCGTATCTATCTTCGATAGCTTTTATAAAATATCTAACGATGGAACTCTAATTATACCAACAGAGAAATTGTCAACGACATATCTTGTTTCGTCAACGAAGCCATACTATTCTGGTAGCAACGACTACTACAGCCAGTTTGCTATTGCAATCGCACATGAAAAAACGAAAGTTAAGATCAGATTTAGAATGAAGAGCAATACTTCAATTTCTCTACTTGGTGGAACATACAAAGACCAGGACGTATTCACAGTATCTTTAGTTAAGTATGAAACTTTGCAAATTAGGCATACTACTGACCTAACAGGAACATTTATTACATCATCAGAACCAATAGCCGTTTTCTCTGGAAATAGATGTCAGCATCTAAAACTTGGTGCATGTAGTCACTTGGTAACTCAGTTACCTCCAACTACCGAATTCGATAACAAATACATTGTTCCCCCGTTCTATGGTAACTCGAGGACATTGATTCAAGTGATCAGTGAAAGTCAAAGTTCCGTTGACGTCACAATCGGAAACCAGGAATCAACGTGGCATATGAAGGAAAAAGAATACAGAAACATTGAAGTGGCATCAGATGAAATAACTATTTTAGAGTCAGATAATGCCATCTTGGTAACTGGTTTCGGAATGGGTTCAAGAAGTAACGACCCGTATATGACCGTCATTCCTGGTGTCCATCAATATGTTGACTACTATAAGATTGTTGTACCAGATGGATATATAAATAACTACATCTGTGTAATAATTCCGAACAAATTTACCAAATATCTTCAGATAAATGGTTCCTCTTTTGATTATTACAAAACTGTCCATCTGAGCTCTGCAGTCTTAGATACTACCTTCAGCATTCGTGTACTTGAAGTTAACAACGGACCCGTGGTTGTATCCACAACTAATAACGCAAAATTCGGGTTAATTGTTTACGGGCATAGGGGTTATGACGGATATGGATTCGCTGGCAATTATGTACTTTCCTAATATTTTCAAGGATGGTTAGAGGATGCTACATTTAAATAGTTTAAATTACATTGAATTTCATCATTTTAAAATATCATTTTAATAAAGTATTATAACTGATGGAAGCATCTGTATTGCTACATGTAATCAAAATCATTATGTTTTAGCCTTATCGACATGTGATAAAAAGAGTAAAATTTGTGTTTAACTGTAAACCTATTGCCTTTGCATGTAATACTCACCTATCATTATAATCCTAGACGATCGCAAATATATGGTACATGCGTGTCTCTGAATCCCCTCACAGCTTAGTTGCATGCAATTCAATAACAATATTTTCTCACTTTTTTCTCAGAAATATTAAAACGTTTATAAATATTGATTTAACTGCCCTCCTCCATCTTTCCTGAAAGGGTATTCCTTTTTATCCTATCTTTAGCATTCTATACAAAATTATAAATTATTATGTTGTTCTCTTTGACATATTCTTCAAGAGTGTTTAGGAAATCCTTGCTATATACTGTAATTTTGATCTGAAGAGGTTATGCACAATCTCTTTCTTTTCAAAAATTGTTAATTTTATTTTTTTTTTCCAGGGTTTAAGAGTATCAGCAATTTTATATAGTGTTTTTTTTCCATTCCGATATATTCTCACAGAGACTTTTATTGTGTCGTAAATAAATTCCAAGAGTTTTCACTATGTCATTTGTTACTTTATTCCAAAGACATTTTTACATGTGATATCAGAGCTCGTGCACTTCATTTTCAATATGCAAATAATTGTGTATATTTTGGTTTAAATTAATTAAACTGAGAACATTTTATTTATTTATGCGGTTTTAAGTTATTTTGTAAATACAACACACATCACAATTGCTTGTAAATCAGTTCTAATTGATAATTCAACAATGAATCAAACTGAGGTAACACGAGCATAAACATTTGAAAACTATCACATATGTGTATAAATAATGAATCAATACACATTATACTGTTCTGATCAATAATGATGATTTGCTCAAACATTTGGAAATCAGATGTGCTTTTCTCTACTAATTGCTTATACAGCATTAAAAAACTGTTTTGAAATCTCCATTTTATTTTTAATTGTAAGAACACAATGTTATTATTTTAAGCTTTATACTATCATAATTTTATTGATGCAGAAACATACATAATTATGAACAAGGGTTCTATTAAGTGGGATTACATAAACGACATCAGTATATAATCTGTTAATATAATAAAAATTCTCATATTTGGTCACATCAAAGTGTTTTCTTTTAATATTCTTCATAATTTTTACAACACCGACAGTGTATAGAACTCCATGATTATTTATTTCTTTGGTACATAATCAGAATACTTCAGTCTGTATAGGAAGATACCTGGGATTGTTTCCTATTTCTAACTTTTTCCTTAATGCGCCTTTTCATCGGAATTATATATTCTTCTGCATCTCCTTTATGACGTCTTCCTGTTGATGAAGTCAAATATATTTTTATGTATTCTTTAAAGGTGCTTGGACACAGATTTGAAGTTAATATTTTCTCAAGTTGCTATAGCATTTCAAACGGAAATAAAATAAAAAAACGGAAAAAATTATTGAAACTACAAATTTCGGGACGCGTTTGATATGATACATCCTAGAACTTTCATAAAGCAAATTTTATCCTTATTACTTAAGAAAAGTAAAAAATTTTGTTGTGTATTAATGAAATATTTCAAACTATAATCCAGAAAATTCAGAATAGAAATGTAAGAAGGCAAAACCAACTCACCAGTATTGTCAGTCCGTGCTCATTGATGTGTGCAGAGTTTTACAAATTGAACACACCCGGTGAAACATAAACAATAACAATAACAGAGCTCGTGCCATGTTTACAAAAACAGTTTACGTTTCACGGGTGTGTTCAATTTGTTAAACTCTGAACACATCACTGAGCACGGACTGACAATACTGGTGAGTTGGTTTTGCTTTCTCACATTTCTCCTCTTTATTTTCTGGATTATAGTTTAATATTTCTCATTAATGCATTTTTACTTTTCTTAAGTATTAAGGATAAAGTTTACTTTGTGAAAGTGCATACATGTGTCAATCCTGAAATTTGTAGTTTCAATAATTTCCAGATAAAATAATTTTTTAAAATTTTATTTCCGTTTGAAATGCTATAGCAACATATAAGTCATGATATTATACCGAAAATTTGAGAAAATATTAACTTCAAATCTGTGACCAAGCACCTAAAACATATATATACACTTGTAAATATATTTGTTGGTAGAGATAATATGTCATTTCAGTTACTGCAGATACCCTTGTTTTATAAGTATGGTATTATTTAGTTCATGATTTTTTTTCTAATGTTGAAAATATCTGAGGACCGAAGAAGTAACTCTCGTGATTTACCTGTGCATGTAAAAGCTCATGAAATAATAAATAATTAATTGATACAGAATCAACTGTAATCCGATTCTTGATATCTTTTTTGCAAGCTCCAACATCAATGAAATCCACATATAGAGTAATATGATATCAGTCTTGCTTTATAATCGTAAGATCTTTAATTTAGGTAATTAAATTCTGACCTAAAAATAAGCTATTCAGTTTATTTAGTATATGAAAAACTTTCCGTAAAAATATACGGAAACCCATAGCAGTTAATCACAGTTAATAAGGAAACCGGTTATATTTTGTGTGAAATTAATATTAATTTACTACATGTACTTGATATTGTTTAATTCAAAAATCTTTTACTTATATTATTTAATTTCTATATTAATTGCAATTTTGTTAACAGAGGTTGTAACTGTCGCATAAGAATTCTGAAAGTTCAGTGTTAAATGTGCATGTATACCATACAATTTTTTTCTCCTCAAAAAGTACATCGTTCATTTCAACTACCTTTGCTCACTGCCATTGTTGAGACATTGTGAAATCTAAGATAGGACTAAGTTCCACCGATTTGATTTATTTACCCCACCTATTAGGGCTGCTTGGACTACTTTCTGGGACCGCCATGAGACTGCTCTGGGAGCGCTGTGGGACTGCTCTTGGAAAGCTAAACAGTATATCCTATTTCGAAGAAGTTAGATGCATCGACCGATACGGTTGACAGATAATGTAAATTAATCCAAAATAACTATATGTAAAGTTCATCCGCTTACCTATTAGCGAAAGATTTTTTATTTGATTCGTAAGATCATCTTCATTTTCTTCTTCAGGAGAAGATTGGTCCTGTTGTTTTGGATTGTCATCCTTTTTCAGAAAAGGGTTTGGGATCTCTGTTATTGCCAATAGGTGAAGAAATGTTCCCCATCTAAAATTAATATTTATCTTTTTTTTGTTTTAAATGAAATCATAATTTGCTAATGGTGTTTGATGTAAAAAAACATGAAGATGATGATCACTGATCAATTTCATTTTTAAAGTAAAATATGAATCGTGAACAACAAGATAAAAAAGCCCCAGCTTGAAACGCCTCATGTCGAATCAGGTGCCTTGGAGCAGTAAGAGTCCCCTATCGACATTTTACACCATGTTTATACTCTCTTCAAGGTTTTAAAACCATTGAAGATTGTCTCGACAGTAATATAATTTTCTAATTGTGTGGGGCAGCACCCCATCCTGTCCCCCTCCCCCGAAATTACATGCCTTTACTTGAATATATTGCAGATTGTTCTTACATGTACATGTAATAATCAAACCGTGAAACTGTATTTACCTGTGCATAAGCATGCCACAAAACTGAAGGACGAGAATCAGAGTGAAGAAAATGATAAACAGTAATCCAAGGACATCAATTTCTATTTCGTTACCATTTTCCTACAATTTTGATGTTTAAATACGATTTATCGTAAGTTTAAGTTTAATACACTTCCGTTTAAAACATGGATATTCTAAGTGGGAGATGAAACGTTCTAATCTTGCATATAAATGAAATTATCAAAGCTTAATCAAACAAAAATTCAACTCACAAACTTTGTTAAAGTGACAACTGTTGGTCTCCTCAATTGAAACATAAAATTTATGGAAACCCAGATTAAATTTAGAACAGCCATTCCAGCGCAGACATTGTTTCTTAATTCCTTTAACTTCTCCCTGTCTTCATTTTCTTTTGCTTCATCTCTTTGAGGGGGTTTAAGATATCTTTATAAAATTATTCAAATGCATTGTTATAATCAAAAACAATAATGCAGATCTAGTCATACATATGTTGATATTGAGAGAATGAATCATGATTTTAAAAAAAGAAAAAAAGAAAAGAAAATACTCTTAATTAGTTCTTTAAAAAAAACTCGCTGTATGCAGTCATGTTGAAACACAAAAAACTTTTATACAATTGGATTTATAGAGAATTAAAACATTGCTGTGACGTCATGCCTTTGTTCTTGCAGTCTAAAAATTTACCTGTAACCGTCCGATAATAATAATTAACAGTCCAATAACATATTATTGGACGGCAGTGATAACAAAATCGGACAGTAGTTAAAAAACAACAACTAGAGTGAAATCAAGGTTTAATTTGTCCAGAAGCCAAAAAAAAAGTTAGGGAGAAAAAATTCAGGGAAAGCGAACGCGAGGAAATTAAGTTGTTATAAATAGCAAAACCAAGAAGAAACAGGAGTTTTAACCTTCCTCAAAAGTAACACTTTCCATTCGTTTTTTTGCGAAGCTTTTTCGATACAGCACTGTGGATAAGCCAATTTAAATCCATTTCTGATAAAGAAACAGTCTGCAAATCTCTTCATTTAACAAGGTTTGTTCGCCAATGACCTCACTTTTAAAACCCAAGATTTTCATTACATCATCCAATCAAAATTTTAGATAAAAATCCGCATTTTTACTTTAAATGCATTTTGAAGATATCATCCAACACTGTATCTGTATCAATGTCAAACGCACTTAATAAAAAAAAAAATATTCCGAATCATAAAAAAATTCTTCATCACCTGACCACTGTCCATTGCTCCTGCTAAGCCAAACGACTGCCATTGAATGAATGAATGAATGAAATAAAAGAGTTCACTCACTGATTTTACTGTCTAAAGAAAAAAAAAATTTCTCTTTTCTTTTGTCTACTTATTATATGGTTTCAGGTAGAAAACTATTGATGCCTGAACTCCTATTGTGTAATTATCGGACTCCTCCAGGTAACTTTTGGACATTTAAATAGCAATGTTTTAAGTAAGATATATGCCTCATACAATTCTATATGTAAAATTAACAGACTGTTTTCGGCCCTAACGGGCCTCAAACAGTCTGATAATTTTACACATAGAACAGTATTCGGTATATATCCATTACATACACATTAGACCACATTTATTTTTATTTGTAAGTTGTTGTCTAATATCCTGAGGACAGCTCTCATCTTGAGAAATACATTCTACATAAACATGTGTATTATGTTTTGGGATATATGTCAAAAACTATGGAAATTATATGATTGTTTAAAAAAAAATGACGGAGAACTTCGTAATATTTTATACTCAATTAGACAGAAAATGCAAATGATTTCAATATATCTTCTTAAATTGCTATTAGAAAATATAAACAGTCTATGCATTTTTATCGACAAAATATAGATAGTGGAAAGTTTTTCATATACTAAATAAGTGCATGAATTCGAACACAAACCTATCAATGAGTCTTTTCCAGAAATCATCTTCTTTCTCGGTCATCTCTATACGGTTGCCTTTAAATATACCTTTACTTATCCATTGAGGCTCTGAATCATTAACACTGTCTGTAGTTCTTTCATGTTCAACGCTCTGCTAAGTGAAATAAAGATACATGTAAAATAACTATTATTTAATGTTCCCATATTTTGATTTCATTAATTGATATTGATCCTGTGTCGTAAAAACGAGAGAAAAAACAACATTTTCCTTAAAGGCGGTAAGCTGCAACAGGTATTATAACTAAAAAATACGAATAAAATATGCATACTTGTTTTCTAATTGTGTCTTTATCGCTCTTTATTTTTTCTCTACCAACAACGACTTCATCTGGATCATCTTTGGTTGTTTTAGAGTCTTTGGTATGACTATTTCCTTCAATCAATTTTGCAACTAATCGTTCTACATCATCTTCAGACACATATGGTTTTGAAACATTTCCTTTAAACTTCCGAAAGGGTGAAAGTATTTTGGAAACTATATCTTTCTTTTCCGTGTCTTTCCCCTTCATCTTCCCACTTTCTCGTGTTCCCCAGGAAACATCATTTAAATTGCATAATGAGTATATTATCAAGACGAGAAAACCACATGGTACCAGCACAAAGTATAATAATCCGAACAAAAGATTGTCCCATTCTCTTGGATGAAATAGTGCAGCTATCACAAAAATGGCTATGATTCCACAAAGAAATACGACACTTGGATGGAAAGGCGATTCAGTGACAGCGGTTATGATCACACCCACTAAGACAACGATCATGATTATAACGTATATTCCACTTAGAAGCTGTGCTACAAGTAGCTGAATGTTTGAGTTACAAGTTAGACATATAACGAAAAAGAGGATTACAGGAGCAAGAGAAGCAATGTACGACGTTAGCAGATCAATTTTGAATACTGCCACAAAAGCACCAGCAATCATCATCAAAATTGTAGCCGGTCCTACTATTGTGGCAACCAGTAATGATCCTGCAATTTGGGTCAAAAAAGTTATAAACACAAATTGCACATATAGCATATTCATTTACAAGATAAAAGGAATGATTTTACATGGAACAAAAAGGAACAGATTATATTAATTGAAAAGTCTGATTTTGGAGTCTTATGTGAACTTTGACAAGGTAAAAAGGAAAAAAGTATAGGAATATTAAGGAATAAACAATATTTATTGATAATAGTCGGATTTTTGAGTCTTTCGTTTTTTTAAAATTAATATCCATCCAAAATTCCACAATCTCTCTCTCTCTCTCTTGTATTGCAATCCATGTGGAGAAACACACCTTGATAAAAAATGTACAGCCAACTTATATTTGCATTAGCTTGGACTGTATTTCTACAATCTTGTAGAAGAGACATAATGTTGGCAAGAGTTGAAGGACCCCATCTTTTTCTTTGCTTGAAATATTCATTAAATCCCTCTGGAGCATATGTAAAGGCATCTGCTCCTGCTGCATAATCAACTCTGTAGCCTTGTTGTAGAAGTAACGTACATAGCCACCTGTCTTCCCCTGATAATCCCAAAAAAAATATTGTAACATAACCAAAAGTTATATCATATATTAAATTCAGAGGAAGAGAACAGTAAAGCGGAGGTAAATCGAATAGAACCAATCAACCGTATCCCATATACCCGCAAAAGACTCAGGCTTTATATTTTGTTCGAGATTAAACTTAAAAAAAAAAAAAAAAAAAAGAAAAGAAACAAAATTTAAAAAAAAGTACAAGTAAGCCAGTCAGGTGAATGATGTTACATTGTAGTTATATTGCTTAAATTTACTGATTCTGTTTTTCATAGCTGATTATGCACCTTTCATGGATTTCAATTAAATATGTACATTCATTTCAATCATTTGCGCAAGCCTCTTATCAGATACATAGTTAATTTCACCTCTAACCACTGACACGAAAGATGGAAACAATTCAGAGTTTGCTCTTTGATGTTATATTGAATATAACTCAAAGTATTGTTAGAAATAGATCACATCTTCACTCTTGAGTCTAAAACTGCAATAAACATATATGGATTTAACAAAAATGTGCCAACATTTTACTTGCAGTTTATTAAATCGTCATGACAGCACACATTGCAATTATTTGACGTCATATTCCATTATGACGTCATATCTCCCTAGTTCAGCGAAGTGATTACATAGGTTGCAGTTTATTATTTTTGGGAAAGCTCAACCTACCTGTTAAGCAATATATCTGTTTTAATAGTCTTAATTTTGTGTCGTACATGAAATGCAGAATCATATTTCAAGCTTTTAAGTCTTGTCATGCAATTGTAAAATCGCATTAATTACCTGAAGATCTTTGAACTGCGAGGTATAAAGGTGAAAACATACCTTGATCATACATGAGGTGGTGTGATGCTTCTGTTGGTAATTGTGTGTATTTATTCATTACGTTATCATCCATTAAGGCGAAACCTCTGAAAAGACTGAAGCACCCAGGAGAACACAGCACACATCCCAGAACGTGTTCTGTCGCTTTCTGAAGCCAATGGGCAACTGCATACTCAAACTTTTGATACCAAACAATGGGACCTAAAATTGATACCAACTGTGAACCCGATGTAATGCATGTTATGATCATGTCCATATTGTAACCTTTGATTTTCTACGATGCATTTCGAACTACGTAAAATTAGCTGAATTAAGATGAAAAAAGAATAAATTATAGACATTTAAGTGCAAATGAAGTGCTAAAAATCCGTCCGAACAGAATATACCTCCATCATCTTTACTGAAAACCCCCAAATAATTATAGTATCTGATTATCACAACCAAGTATAAAAATGGTAGAGATTTCTTAACTTTACCTATTCAAGAGCTTCGTATCTGGATATAAGAAAAAAGAGGAATAAAGTGAAAACCTAAAATGTTTGTGTTCAACATTATAACTTTCATTGCTATTTCAAAAAAGAAGAATACCACTGCCAATTGGGTGAATACGGCCACATGAAGCTCCAACTCTGTCTTCCTTTCTCATTCTGTCTACAAGAATCCTCAAGGAACCTGGTGAAAAATCTACGTCTCCATCTAAGGCAAGGAGAAATGTGTTGTTTGCCTGCATCAAGATTGATAATGGAAGTTTACTTTTGTGCGCTTGCTTTCAATATAACCAGGCATTAAGCAATGTAAATGGCAGTCCTTTAATGATAGACATGAGGCAATTTTATTACTTATAGATAAAGTGTTGATCACATTAAAACAAAGAGACATAATTAATTATTTTTTTAATGAAGAAAACAATACTCTTGGTTTAAGGAGTTCCTCGAATGTTTTCTTGCTTTCTCTGTGAGTTTGCATTTCGATGGTTTCGATGCTCAAGCGATAAGCAAGCAAATAATACATGTACATCACCTGTTGTAAAGATATATATATATATATATATATATATATATATATATATATATATATATATATATATATATATATATATATATATATATATATGCGCATGTAATAGGATGTGTTAAACCTATGTCTTTAATCCACTTACAACAAACAAACAAATAAAAAAAGATTGTCTAGAGATTTTTTATACAAGTGAAATAAATATAAATAATAAATAAAAAGTCTGATTTTAACGACGATTTCACAACAATGTTAGAGAAAGAGATAAAATTTGTTTTAATCGAAAAAAGAGAATTTTGAACATCCTGGAAAAATTTCAATTTTTTATTACTTTGGGAATTTTGTGTTTATATTTGTGTCATTTAAAACCAAAAAAAGTCTTAAAAATATATTCCATTCCGTGCATTTGATTTTTTTCCGGTTTGTTACAGATGTCCTTAAATGAATTCTATATTATTTGCAATCATTACATGTACGTTCATACACATCATCCAATACAGTGGTACTAATTTTACCTGCGACCATCTTTTTTTGTTTCGTATTTTTGTTTTATCTTTCAGATGAATGAACATAAGATTTCCCCCAGGCATTTTATATACGATTTGGGCTCCATATACTGTGCAGATTATTACAGGTTTTTCCAGTTTGGTGGCCTTTGCATGGACGGCACTGCATAAAAAAATCATGTGTATTTTGATATGAAATTAAAGGGGATAAAATCGAGCATACAAAAATTTTCAATTTTAAAAATGAACGCATATATCTCTTTAACAATATCTGCATTCAAAATGTATTTTTCTTATACATGTAACAACTACTGAACTGTATAAATAATTTCAATGGCACAGATGCAAACTTAATCCTCAGTTTAAAATAAAGTGTGAGCAATACGCAGGTATGTTAAGGACACACTCAATTCATTTCTTGGGAAATTTAGACATTTTTTGAAAATCGTAGCTTTGATAAATTATTAAGAACACCAACAAAACATAAACTATTGTAAACGATTGTATAGACCTCAAAGAGACTAATGACAAGAAGTGCAGCCCCTTGATGGCATCACCTGACTGTTATAAATAGAAAATATCCCTAGCAAAGACATTACCTTTGGGTTTTATGACTTCTGTAAGTAAAGAAAAATAACGGAAAAACATCCTACTGTCCTGTCAGTGAAAAAAAAATATTTCACATATTTGCATGAAAACTTACCCGATGTTTAGTTTTTTATTCATATATTCCGAGGATTTTCTTCCTCATGTGTTTACCCCACGATACTAGGAGCGCTTTCCAGGTTTTATAGAGCACAGTCACGCTTTCGATCTTGATAACCATATTTTTAAAGTATTCTGCTAAGTATGTATTTTTTGCATTTTTGTCGTCATAAATTACAAAGAAAAAACCGACCGGTACTAGTAAACAACTGATTAGCTCTCATAAGATATTAAACTGGTGAAATTAAATCAGGCTACCAGGTAAACAAATGTTAATCGTATACAATCCAAAATAATAATCACGACATTTGATTCTAAACTCCCATTTTACGTATCTTTTTACATACCTTTTACATACCTTCTTAACCAGATTCTCTTAACACCTCATATTTACCTCTCAAATCTCGATAAACAGTTATGACGTCATCGATTTGAGCATTTAACTAAAGGTGCAGATAGCATAAGAGAATAAAAAATTCTTGTTAATGTTTCTTTGATTTTAATGATTTTCAGAAAATTAATTAAATCTCTAAATACAAATATTAAAAATACATTAGTTCTAAAGTTGATGTCATGTAACTTACTTTGAGTTCATATAGTATCACAGATAATGTCAAGTCAGAATATCTGAATGTTTTTTTAACATACCTGCTTACGGATTTTATTTAAATTCTTTATTTTTAGTGATAATCCTTTTTTCTTTCATTTTCTTAAATTATGGTGGAAAGGAAATTATACATGTAAATGACAAACTTTATTAAACATTTTTTTTTATCAAATAATGCAAGTATTTTTTTTTACCCATGACAGACTGTTATAACAAAAATATTGAGGGTATTGAATAGGCATTACTAACTCTCCTAGGTAAGTAAACATGTTTAGTTTGGATCCTCTTATAATTAAGGCAAGTAATCATATATGGACTCAAAAGCCACAAATCTGTGAAAGTTTTAAGAGCAAAACACTTGATTCGTAAGTCTTAAGTGTAGACCCATATACAAAAATCATTAAAATATCTTAAGTTTGCATACAATATACATTGGCTTTAAAATTGAGTTTCTAACAAGTGAAGTTCAACTCTATGCATACAAATGTTTTTTTTATAAAAATAGATAATTAATAGTACATTGTAATTTTTGACATGCATTCATAGGATAAAAAAACTCAAGGGGGTTTGAAAAAAAAAAAGATATCAAAGTCCTTGGATGTTTTTCTTGCCTTGTCATGTAAGAAACACGCCTTGTTGAATTTAGGGTTTTGTATTTAAAGAAAAAGTATATATGTTCCCAGGAAGAATTGTTTAATAAAAATTATAACGGGTCCAAAACCATCAGATATTACATGTACTCTTAATTATCATCTTATTTGTTTTGTATAAATCTAAATACTTACCTAACGGTTTCATTCATAACAGAAGCAAAATTCTTTACAAAATCATTCACATCATTTTTCTGGAATGCGTCGTCAAAAAGAATATGTGCTAGAAAAAGAAAAATATTAAAACATCCTCGCAAAATAAAATATTAAAATCCAGTGCATGTTCTACTTACAAACTACTTCTTATGCTATGGAGGCTGCTGACAAATAAGTTGATGGTATTAGGATATCAACATTCTCGTTTTAAAGTCAAAATGTCGCAAATTCCATGGTCGATCAGTGACATTGTTTGCGAATGTTGATTGACATCTTTCATACACATTGTAAGGCGATCATTTGCACACTAAATTTTGTACCTGAACATGACAAGGCACACACGGTGGTTGTGTCAGCAGGAGATGCTTACTCTTCTACGGTATCTAATCCAACATCTTTTTCATTGTCCGAGCTCAAAAATTGCATTGTTTAAATGGACTTTTAGAATAATCACTGTTCGTTATCTTTACATTTCATGAGCAGAAATTTGTAAAGGCTAATATTTACATTTTAAGTATCTTAAACCGAGATTAAACAACAAATAAGGTAATAGCTTTATATCCTCATAAAGCAAGCCTCACAACTCCATGCTTTCTCGCTGTTTTTGCTTAGTAATTAATGGGTGGGGCCTGTCGAAATTTCTCATTATTGAATTTTTTTTTCACCGAATCAAGGTTCAGGTTAACATTTAAACACGAGGAAAACCTGCCTTCGGAGTTCATGCAAATTATCACGCGAGCAAAGTAATTGATTACATCTTAAAAAAAATTGCTAGACAGTAATTTCTTAAGTAATCGTTTTTTACCTTTGAATTTTAGAAAATAAAGACGTATTTGCGCAAAAGAAAAAATACTTTATGTCATTTTTTGAACACAAAAATGCTGAAAAATCAATTTTTTCCCCCAGAAGCATAACCTTCAAACTCGTAGTAGTCTTGATCTCCTTCTTTCCTTCCAGACTGGTCCTTGTCGACTCTACAATTCATGAAAAAATAACTGCCTTTAATATTTTATATGGGGATCTTAATCAAAGAGACTAATTTTTTTTACACAGGTCTGAATGTTAAAAACGGTAGACTTAAATTATATTTAACTTCTTACGCTTGTTGGAAATATTTTAAGGAATGTAATGACAATTTGTCAGTCAAATTGAGAAACTGCCATTGTGCGTGTCTATTTTACAGCTACAGTAACTGGTACCGAATTAAAAATTAAAAATTACTTTCATAAAGAGGGGAAAAAAATGTCAAAAAAGGAATACTCTTTTGAAATAAACTGAAATCAATTTCCTTCTCAAAATAATAAAATTGTGAAAACACTTGTTTGACTTACCTATATAAGGATTTTAGCAATTGCTTCATTTCATTAAGAGTTTCGTGCCACAAAGTAGCGCATGCGAAGACTCGTGGATAAATATTTTCTGTCCTTTCACTTAGGTTTTTATACAATATAACAAGAAACAAAACTTAATGATGTCTTATGACTGTTTAAATAAAACATATTCACTTTACTTAAGTATTTGTTTAAGAATTTAGCTACTTTTATAAGTTTCCATGGACCACAAGACTAATCTGAGGACTTCGGTCCTGTTTTTTTTTTCCTTTAAAAAAAAATTATACAAATTTAACAAGGATTTTCCATCTTCCTTCCTATGAAAACTTCTTACACCATAATGTGATCCAATCATAGCTCAGATGGTTCATGACTTAAACACAAAAATGTGGATGCCTAAAAATTGTCATGACTAACATATTTTTCTTTTTCTTTTTTCTATTGTGGTTTTTCCCCTTCTATACATGCATTCTGTAAAATATAATCCCCGATTTTAGCGTTTAATTCTTTTTTTCTACATATTCTTATGTAGATAACTCATCTCTATTACATCTTTTCCCTAGGCCTAGGGACCATGAACTGAGGAAAGTTGAATGTGCGCTACATAAGATGCTTGCATATTGGCCCAGAGGTCTCTGACAGAACGTTGTTCCCAATATTGTTTTTATTAATTACAATTTGAAATCTCGATCTCCTATTAAATTGCTCAAATCTGCACTACCTGAAGCTTTTTTTTTTTATAATAATAAAACTGATCAGGACCCTGTTGTTGTTGATGAAAGAAATCTTAAAATTCTTTTTCCGTATTTCCACGGAAGCATTGATTCAAATCAACTTTAATTTTCACGATTTGAGGATGCTTATCTATAGATTTAATTCAAGTCAGTAATACTGACCTTGGGGGGATAATAATTATGATGATGATGATGATAATTATAATAATAATAAAGATTTTCCTCCTATATCTTTACATGTAAAATGATCCCCTTCTGTGACCCTTACCTTAATAAAGAATTGCCTATACCTTTCTTCCTCCGAATGATGTTCTTCCTGGCCAATGATGTTTTTTCTCGTATCGCTGTCCTCTTCTTTCTTGATGTTTGTCTTTTCCATATTTGGTATTTCTCTTACTAGCCGCCTTCTATTCATCACCAAATGTTGCTCCATTAGAATTCCGCAATATAAGGGATTGACAAACAGGCTGACAGAACACAGATGCAAATCAGTGATTTTCTTTTTCAATAATAATGGTTCATTTGCTTATTATTCAATTAATTTTGTAGTATTAGAATATGACTAATTCTTATCGTCCTTCTCTTACCGTTCTATCTTAGCAATTCTCTCTTGCGAGGGAAACCAAATGTGCTGGCCAATCCAGTACATTGATAAAAGCCAAGCTGCAGTGACTGTAAGGTGAAGCCAGTTGTTTGCTATTTCATGATTATGTTCACAGGCAATATCTATATTAATCGAGGATATCACTGAAAGAATGCTTTCGCTGTCATCACAATAATATGCCATTAGTGTAATGAAGATCGGAGTAGAAATCAGACAAGGTATGGAAAACGAAAATATTTGCATCCGTAGTTTACAAGCCGTGTATGCGACATAGTATCCGACGAATCCGGATATAACGAGGGCAATTATATCAGAGAAAAATCCAACATTATCGTAGTTTGTTATTGTTGACCAAAATTCAGAATTCAGAAGTTCTGTTTGATCTCCAACAAGAAGGCTTGCCGATAAAACCGTCATTGCTATCTTCGTTAATGAAACGATAATGCCAAAATACGGTCTGCTTTCTTGCAACTCGTATTTGACTTTATTAATGCCTCTCTGAAAAATTTTGGAAAAACATCCTTTGTCAGCAGCAAAATTTTCCCACCATGACAAAGAAGTGAAAAGGAAAGCTGCAAAAACTTTGATATACATAAAAGAATTGTAAGAAATGTCTTCAAATACTCCTGGCATACCTCTCTCATACTTAGCTATTGCAGTTTGAAGTGTTTCAGGTAAAAGATCTGTTTTTGGAAGAAGCAAAATAGGAATGACAGAAACCTGAATGATAATTGCAAGGACATCAAAAATAATAATTGTTACTTTTCTACACGTTGTTATTTGTTTTCTAACCAGTCTTTGTTCCCTAACCGTAAACGGTTTCAAAAGACTTGGGACAATTGCAATAGCACTAAGTATGCATATTCTTTGAACAACTCCAAGGTCAGGCATAAGTTGAAATACAAGTATGCATAGTCCGATGGAATGAAAGGCTTCAATTATAACACACTGCAATGAAATAATTGTTTTTGATAAATATTACTGCAAAATGCACAACTTCTTTCTGACAAAAAGTTGTTTATAGACTGAAAAGAAGACAAAATGCTCTAGCGCTATTTTCCAAGGACATATTTCAAATAAATACTGAAAAATCAAAATATATTACAATTGTTTGCCATACTTACCATTAATACACTTCCAAAACTAGGCCGATTCATATTTCCAAAGAAGACTTTCCAACAGCTTGCAAGGAAGTTAAGAATGTACGGTGTGCATATAGGAATCACTAAAAGAAGATTGTGTGCCCCAGAAGCTGAAGACTAAAAAATATATATATACATTACAAAGGCTTAACTATGTACTGAGTGAGTATTATAATTTTGAACTAGCTTAAAGAATCGCATGAATATTTTTAGCTATAAGTACCATTTCGTTATACGTCTCGTTTCCAGTAGAATTTTGAGTCGGCTCTGTGTTATTTCTCAGTTTTGAAGTTGCCATCACAAGACTGATTTTTTGAATGACCATGGATGACAGGAAAATTGTGAACAAACAAAAATACACCAGAACCTTAATAATTCGAAAACTTGTATGCGAATGGACATCATTCTGTTTTCTTTCCCTGTCCATTACTTTAAACCTATCCCAAAACCTGTAAGATAAGAGGCTCAATGTTATTATTTTTGCTTGATAGATCAAGTTCTTAAAATATTATGAAAGACTTCCCAAATTCCTTTTTAAACACAAAATTTTCTTTATTTTCTGCAAAGTTTACAAACTTAAGACAATTGATTTGTGAAACTCGCAATCAAAGTTTTTGTTTATCTCTCGTGTGTTTTAACACTCCTCTGTGTATCAAATTGATTAATTTGGTCATTATTCTTCAAATTCCATCAACTATTAAAATGTCCGCTAAGAAACATGAGCATGAAGAGTTATAGTTTTTTCCCTTGTATACCTCTATGTGTTTTGATAAGAAAATAAAAGAAACATTTAATTGCTATTAAATATAGAAAGGGGTTCTTGATTTTTTTTTTTAGAAATATAATAAATTCATTCTTCGTTTGGTTTCTTAACAATGCAAAATATTTCATCGCTGCATCTAAGAATAAAGAACAAGTCTCAATAAGGCTTATCTGTGGTACCCTGTTACTTGTCAAATTTTGAACTTAAATTAAAACCTTGCGAATTAAATTGACTAACAGATATCTTCATTGTTTGATTCAACATCTGAAAATGTCAAAGAATGGGTATACACAACATACAAAGCTGCGTTTGGATGTGGAGTCCCTGAAGAGACATAATTTGTCGAAATGCGCATCTGATGCATCAAAATTGTTACCGTATATGATTTACATTATAACTCCTGGGTCGAGGCCTCTGCTGGTGGACTGTTAGTCCCCAAGGGTCTCTACAGCCCAGTAACGGTACTAGCTTGAAAATACGGATATATATTTCATCGCCGTGGTAATATTTAGAAATTTATTTCAAATTTAAGGATTATCTCCCTCATGCATAGCTCTGATCCTTCGACGTATCTGGCTCCAGTCTTTGGCACTTTTTTCAGCTCTTCCAATTCTTTTTATTTAAATTTTGGATTCCCAACCTTTCGGCTTGAGCATCACTGAAGAGACATAATTTGTCGAAATGCGCATCTGGTGCATCAAAATTGGTACCGTATATGATTTATATACTGAACGCAAAAGAAACGCAACAAGCAGTAATCTACAAATATTTGAATTTTTTATCTAATGATTTTCAAAAATGAATACACTAAGCTAAAACTCGATTTAAAAACATCATGAATTTGATAAATTTGTTAAATGATTATCTTATAACTTTAGAAAGTAACACATGATTGTTAAAACACCCCCCACCCCGCCCATTCAGTTACAGCGTGCAAGACTGCCATGCACAACAGTTGCAGCTTGATTTCTACGATGCAATAGGTTCATCAATCTCGAGATCTGAGCGACAGAAATATTTTTTGCCATTTTTAAATGCCGGTTTTTCATATGATGAGGTCGAATTTTCTCTAGCCAATTTCAGTGTAGTAACCCTTGGACTTCCGGTCCAAGGACTGTTATTTATGCTAATGATACGCATGAACCTCTTTAGGCGTGATGTGGGTCATATTTGCATCTGCAACTCTCCATCACCTTTATTTTTGAGATTTTCCAGCTAGAGCAATGGAAATGCGAACTTAAAGTCATTTTCAGGAAGCCTTGGCATCGCTTGCGGAAAAGAAAGGGGAATTTTTTTTTCCGGAACATTGCTGCATTACTTATGATGAACAGATACAAACCCTTCAACCCCCATATTATTGCCAAAATGTTTTGTTAAACATGCAATTTTTGATTTCTGTTAAGTGGACTCAAACTTAACTTCCAGTTATGGTATGAAAATTATTCAACAGTTAAATTACCGATATTTACAATGTTGAAAATATCCTTACTTTTTAGATACAAAATTATATCTTATATGTAATATTTCCCCCTAAAATATGATGTTGCGTTTCTTTTGCGTTTCAGTATATTATGACTCCTGGGTCGAGGCCTCTGCTGGTGGACTGTTAGTCCCCAAGGGTCTCTACAGCCCAGTAACCAAGTACTTCGGTACTAGCTTGAAAATACGGATATATATTTCATCGCCGTGGTAATATTTAGAAATTTATTTCAAAATTAAGGATTATCTCCCTCATGCATAACTCTGATCCTTCGACGTATTTGGCTCCAGTCTTTGGCACTTTTTTCAGCTCTTCCAATTCTTTTTATTTAAATTTTGGATTCCCAACCTTTCGGCTTGAGCATCACTGAAGAGAATAATTTGTCGAAATGCGCATCTGGTGCATCAAAATTGGTACCGTATATGATTTACATTGATTTTCATGAATATTAAAAGAAGTCAGTGACAGGTGCACACTCTACAGCTTTTAGAAGCACTGAACACAGGTTTTTTTTCAGAGTCGAGTTTCAAAATATTTTATTTATATTATATGTATAAATATTAAGTAAAAATATCTTTCTTGAAAAGCCTTGTGTTCTACATGTATATTTTCTAATTAAAAGTATCTGGTTTTGAATCTCTTGGTTGGCTTTGTTTACATCCAATTAACCTTTTTATGGCCGGTATAAAATCATAACAAGTGGATTTGTATCGTCATGGTTAAATGTCCCCAGTTAACGTGCTACCTCGCAGTAAAAGCGTACTCAGTTATATATCAGTCAGTACGGACTTGTTTGGCTCATCTTATTATAACATTATATTGTCAAAGTTTTGTAAATAAAGAACTTTATTTTTAGTTCATTGTGATTATTATATAGTTCTATTTTTAGGTAACCTGAGTCACTCAAGTGACCTATTGCTATCTGTTTTCGTCCGTCGTCGTGCGTCGTCCGTCGTGCGTTAACTTTTGAACATTTTTAACTTCTTCTCTATAACCGCTTAACCAATTTCAACCAAATTTAGAATATAGCATCTATGGGTGAAGGGGAACAAAAATTGTGAATTTCATGGTCCATGCCCCCCCGGGGCCTGAGGGGTGGGGCTAAAACCACCAAAAATAATGCAATCTTTAAAAATCTTCTTCTTTACTCCTGGACATCAAGCAGTCAAACTGTTGGCATCATTGTAATAAGCACTGAGCCCTCTACCAAAATTGTGAAATTCATGGCCCCAGGGTTAGGGGTTCTGGCCCCAGGGTGGGGCTATATAGATCATATAGTGAAAGTGCATTATTTCTTTGAAAATCTTCTTCTCTGCTCCTGGTATCAAATAAAGTTACTAAGTACATAGTTATGATGAGCAAGAGTGCCTCTTCCAAAATTGTGAAATTCATGGCCCCAGGGTCAGGGGTTCTGGTGTTAGGGCGGGGCTCTATTGATTATATAGTGAAAATGCATTAATTCTTTGAAAATCTTCTTCTCTGCTCCTGGGTATTAAATAAAGGAACTAAGTACATAGTTATGATGAGCAAAAGTGCCTTTTCAAAAATTGTGAATTTCATGGCCCCAGGGTTAGGGGTTCAGGTGTTAGGGCGGGGCTCTATTGATTATATACTGAAAATGCATTAATTCTTTGAAAATATTCTTCTCTGCTTCTGGATATTTAATAAAGTAACAAAGTACATAGTTATAATGAGCAAGAGTACCTCTTCCAAAATTGTGAATTTCATGGCTCCAGGGTCAGGGGTTTTGGTGTTAGGGCGGGGCTCTATCAACTATATAGTGAAAATGCATTAATTCTTTGAAAATCTTCTCCTCTACTCCTGGGCATTAAGGTGATAAACTAAGTACATATTTATGATGAGGAGGTAGGCCTCTTCCAGAATTGTGAAAGCCATGGCCCCTGGGTCAGGGGTTCTGGTGTTAGGGCGGGGCTCTATTGATTATATAGTGAAAATGCTTTAATTCTTTGAAAATCTTCTTCTCTGCTCCTGGGTATTATTTAAACAAACTAAGTGCATGGTTATGATGCATAAGGATGCCTTTTCAAAAATTGTGAATTTTATGGCCCCAGGGTCAGGGGTTCTGGTGTTAGGGTGGGGCTCTATTGATTATATAGTGAAAATGCATTGATTCTTTGAAAATCTTCCTCTCTACTACTGGAGACTATTTAAACAAACTAAGTGCATGGTTATGATACATAAGGATGCCTTTTCAAAAATTGTGAATTTCATGGCCCCAGTGTCAGGGGTTCTGGTGTTAGGGCGGGGCTCTATTGATTATATAGTGAAAATTCATTGATTCTTTGAAAATCTTTTTCTCTGCTACTGGAGATTATTTAAACAAACTAAGTGCATGATTATGATAGACAAGGATGCCTCTTCCAAAATTTTTAAATATATGGTCTCAGTTTTTGGGGTTCTTGAGGAGGGGGGGGGGCTCTGGTGTTATATAGTGAAAAAGCATTAATTCTATTAATTAATCATTAATTAATCCTGTCTGCTTCTTAGAATAGTGTTGAGCTGATAAATAAATTGCTTAGCTATGATGAAAATGGGTGCTTCGAACAGAATTTTTAAATCTTGTGGTCCTAGGGTCAGGGGTTCTAGCATAACGAGGGGGGGGGGGGCTTTTGATAATATAGTAGAAAAGTGTTAATTCTTTGAAGTCCATAGTTATGATGATGAGGGTAACTCTTCCAAATTTGTAAATTTCTTGACCCTTGGTCTTGGGTTCTGGTGTTAGGGTACATGTACATGTAAGGCTTTGATGAATCTGTAGTGAAATGCATTGTACCTGTGAAATTCTTCTCTGCTTCTGGGCATATCGGAAGCAAACTGAGTAAAAGTTTAAATGATATGAGTAAGCGTATTTCTACCAGATTTTTAAACATCTGGCCCATTCGTCTAAGCATTCCGGTCCTGAGCAGGGCTCTATTAATTTGTATTCTACTGAGAGAAGTTATTCCCCTTTTCCATTCATCTTTGATAATTAATCACTGTAAATAATGTATTTGAAAGGTTAATAGAATAAAATAATTATGCAAGAATGTTTATCGTATAATTAAAAAAGTACTTTCTTAGTTTTAGTAATCAGATAGACCTGTAAGTAATAGATAAATAAAAATGAGACAAAAATAACTTATCTTGTTAAAAGTTCTTCAAAGACCATAAGAGAGGTCAATGCTAGAGGTCTTAATATGGGTTTAAAAACAGTACAGAAGCACTAATAGTTTTTTAATAGTCTGCATGGTGATAGTGTTAAGTGGGGGACAGATTAGAACTTAATTTATGAGTTGATACTGAATACTAGACTAATTATTTTGTTGATCCTGATCTTCCTACTTTTCTTGCTCTAGGGCAACAATGCTTCATCTATCAGTGTATTTAACTTCTAAATTGTTGTATTATACTCAGGTGACCGTTAAGGCCCTTGGGCCTCTTGTTTTTTTTTTTTTAATTTCTGTCGTACTACATTAAATATTTTTCTTTACAGTGAATTATGTAAATTTCATAAACTGGTAATTTCACCATGCCAAAACACTGTTATAAAAAATACATTCACGATAAATAGCACAACTCCCTGAGAAAAAAGAACGTTAATAAATCATACATGATAGAAAAGAAAATATTTGACACAGAATTATAAGAATTGCTTTCTTATTTTGATTATAAAATTACCGAATTTGTTAATCTATATAATTCTCTCGATCTTCTTTTTAAAGTATCTTATTTAATTGTCCCCTCCCATGTTCATATGATAGAGAAACCACACTCTCTTCAGGGGAAAACTTTCTGGATTTTATAAAGTGTGATAGGTGTTGAAAATCGGCTCGTATTTTTGATATCTTATATCATTCATTATAAATATATAATGCTGTAATTAGAAAAACTCCGTTATACATAATGAAAAAAAATGCCGTATGCTTATAAATAACAGATAAAACAGAGGTGTAAAAAGGGGACCCCGCTACTGTGCGTAAGTAGATAACTCTTTTAATATCCAGAGAAAGGTTATGATTAATAAAAATAGAAGCAATTTGCATATCATTTCTGAGAAATTAATTGCACAGTAGAAAAAAGCAACTCTTTAGATATCAGATAGCTTAATGACAAAAAAATAATTTCTAGGCAAAAAAGGACACATTTTATCTTATTTCTTCATCCCCCAAACACTTTAAGTCGGAACACTGAATACGCCATATTTATACGCGTTTTAATACATATTATTTTTATAGGGTCTGGTTAAATATTAAAAAATCCATTTTTAGAAGTTCCTCTGATCGAATTTTGAATTTGATAAGTTTTTGTTTTTGTTTTTATTTTGTTTTTTTATTTTTGGTTTTTAACATGCATAGGTTGGAAGTATATTTCTCAAGCTATCTAACACTTTTTTCGATAAAACATAAAATTAGTATCAAGCACCAGATGGTGTAAATGCTAGCAATGATATTGTCATGAATCAGTTTCGAATTCAATTGAATCGCTTGCTAATCCAATGACTTCTATACATAAAAGAGTACATGATGAATGTTGGAAAAAAAAGGAATTATTTAAAAGAGGCAATTCTTAAGTCCAGGATCCCAGATTGCCGTATACATGTCTCTATGTTTGATATCTAGCTCCTGGGTTTAAAGTTGTTGCCATCTTTTTTGGTCTACCAAGCGCCTTTTCCATTGGATAACCAGCCCAGTCATTCTTCTACTTTGGTCATGTATATAAACAGTGTCCGAAACACGTGGTCGTAATTCCATAATGTCCATCTTTTTACTGTATTGACAGAAATTATCCCCCGCTCAACACACTATTGAATGATAATTACCCCCTCATGATCGCCCGACGTCGCCTTTTAGACAGCATATAACTTCAAAACATTGTCATTTATGATGACAAAATTAATAATTTTTACACAATAGTAACCCAGTAGGTCATTGAAAACTTATCAATTTAAATTTTGTCACATTGCAGTATAATCTGGAAACAAACAAAACATGAAATAATTTTTAAAAAGGAAAGTATGAGGAGCTCCGTCCGCCAATTTTTAACAGCCTTTAAACGCGGATCCCATATGACATTAAAACCTTTTTTTTTTTCAAAATAACAAAAAATATTACTTCACGGAAATGACCCCCCCCCCCCCAAAAAAAAAGAAAAAAAAAGAAAAAAAAAAAGGTAAATATAATAATGAAATACATGTCATATATGTTAAACAATTAGTATAAATTCATCTTACTTTGCTTTTAACTTGGAATGCATCTCATTATTCCTTGGAATAGGTGATTCATATGCCTAAAGGAAGGAAAAAAACTTTTGGTCTTTCATTTCATTATAAATTAAAACAATATGTGTTTGTGTAACACTTTGCCCCCGATGGTAACAAAATTCTTGAGTGGGAGGTAGACTACAGTGCAATAGTTATGGCCAATGTTAATGTTTTTCAATGCAGGTCAAAGGTCACAGTTGAGGTCACATGATCAAACATTTCTGTACCAATAGAAATAATGAACACTCATGTCAAATATTAAAGCCTTACCCTTGACAGCGCAATAGTTATTGGCTAGGTTAAAGTTGACAACAGACAGACAGACAAACAGCCAGACAAACAGACAGACAGGACAAAAACAATATACCCCGGGGTCTTTCGATCCAGGGGCATAAAAACAATATATCCCCGGGATCATTCGATCCAGGGGCATAAAAACAATTCTATGTATGTCTATCTTGCAAAAAAAAAAAAAAAAAAAAAAAAAAAAATAATAATAATTGAATGTACATTGCAAAATTTTATTTGAAATAGCAAAAGCACAAAAATGGAGTTTTGATTAAAATAAATCATTATAATATATCAAATAAGTCCAAAGTCTATCAAAGCACTCCTCATTTCAGTAGCATTTCCTTACATATTATAAGCAGCATAGCACTGAAAATAATATGAATACAAGAACTGAAAATATATATCATTTACCTCGTTGTTTTCCGTGTCTGTTGCATTATCGTTTGAGTGGTAATATTTTACATTCGTCTGTTCATTGTCTTCATTTTCTAAATCCTTATACAGAAAAAGAATATGAAATATCAATACATACTCAACACAAATATTTATTTATTTATTTTACTTATTGTTTGAGTGACGTAAATAATAAATTATTTATTTCAATGCTGATATATGGGTGAGTATGGGTGTACTTATTTTTATACTTATGTTCGTTTCTGATTATGTTTAATTATTATCTCGTGTGCTGTATTTCTCAAAAGTAATGAGTAATCAATTACACATATCTTCCTGCTATATTTTATTATTTTTTTTAAATTTGCAAATACATCTTAACAATAAATGGGGCATGGAAAGCAAAATGAAAAGCATTCCCAAAAAGCATGTTAAATATACATGTAATCAAAAACATCTGAATGGAAAATAAATTCTCATTATTCCGTTCCCAGTAGTAAACTTGGAATTCAATTAGTGCAACATTAAAGTCACATAAACCTTCAGCTAAAAAACTACTTTGCATCTACCGTTAACATATACCAAAGATTCTGTAATAAGTAACACTTTTGAAATAAATAAAATTGTTGCAATATTCTACAGGTACATCGTTTCATTTCGAGTACCACAATGTGTAAAATATTTGAAACATAAAGCAAGTGGACGTTTTCAAGTAATGATAGTGTCCTTATTTATTTTTTTAAAAGATAAGTTTTCCTTTCTTTTTTTCCAAATAAAAATCTAGATTATACGTTGATGCTAACAAATTGAAATTCATAATTCATCGTTGTTTTCCTTAATGTTAAGTGAATATTAATTATTTTTAAATAAATGAACAATCTGTGCAAAACTTGCGGGGATAGAATTATAATATCGCTTTGAAAGGTATAGAAAAGTTGCATATCATATATCTAATGATTACAGATGATATATGCAGATACTGCAAAGTACTATAGCCAACCAGATAAAGAAGCAGGAAGAGATTTTTTTTCAGACCTGCCCTGCCAGGGAAATAAACTCAATGTACATCATTAGTGCAGCATATAAACCATAAGGTTTTCTTAATCCTCAAAGCATTATATTTTTGTACTTTAGGCAAGCAAAATAATATACATAAATAAACATACACTTCCCGCAGCAATAACTTCATTCTCTTGAATTTCTCTTTTTTTGAATTTCAACTGTCTTCCACTTCTTCTATTTTGACGTACTGTTTTATCCTCGCATTTTCTTCTGATCTTAATCAATTCTTTCTCCATGTACATATCTACCTCCTCTTTCAAGAAGACCTAGCATACATAAAAAAAAACATTGCAAGATAATTTTTGACATACCATTCATCTGTACAGCTGTGAAACAAATTCCTTAATGATTTTTTTAAAAAAAAATTTAAACTTTTTTGTAGGATCATACAGTGTCCAGATATATGTAGGATCTCCCATGATTTGTGTTTGGATATGATTTTTACCCAATGAGTTGTTTGTATTTGATAAAAACACACAAGGAGTTAGATAAAAAGCATATCCAACCACAAATTATGGGAGATTATTTTTATCACATGTTTTATACATTACTATCAATGTACTATGTTTTGATACATGAATTCACATTATTTTACTTCATCACTTTCATGCAAAACCATCGTGACGTCAAAGCAGTGGTGTATGAAAAAATATCTTATCAGTGATATCCACGGGATAAAGGGGTAACCATTTGCTAAAAAGTTTTTATCAACACTGTTGGAATCATTTTTGTCAGTAACTTTTTCAGAGGTTAATAAAATTATTTTACAATATAATCGCCAGAATAATATCGTAATATATCACATACTAGGATAATGTTTTACCCTAGTAAACCAAAACTATCTATTAGATATAAAAGTCGACAAAATATTATTTTCAATATTTTCACTTTCAGTGCCTTTTTATAGCATTTTATCTGTACATATTTCAATGTAATTTTCTAATTCAAGATCTTTTAAAAAGAAATGGGTATATATGTTGCTTTACTATTTAGCTAAAACGCATGCGACGTAAATCTACAAAGAATCAATTAATAAATTAACATAATACTCCATAGCAAATCAAGAATTTTAGCAATGCATAGAAGAACATTCATCAATGTACATCATGAAATAAAGCAGGTGCTTGTGTTAACTTGGCTTATAATTTAAGTTCATATAAATAACATTTTTTTGTTTAAAAAATGAGCTCTTACATATAAATGGTTTCTTCAAACACTAAAAAACCTTTAATCTGATTTACAATATCAGACAAAATCAAATGTACAAAAGTTATGACTACGTGCAAAGTAAAATGATATATAAGAACATTCTATTTTTGAAATATGGAGATAACAAACAATAATCAAGCTCAAAAGTCTATTGAAACAATACAAACACAATCCTAGATAAGCATTTTTTTCATAAAATGATAAATACTTTGTCACAAAAAAATGATTGTACAAACCGAACTGAAGACAAATTCGATATATTTGAATTATATATATATATATATATATATATATATATATATATATATATATATATATATATATATATATATATATATATATATATATATATATATATCGAGAGAGAGAGAGAGAGAGAGAGAGAGAGAGAGAGAGTACTATTTTGCTTCCCGTAAGTTTTGCAATGAATATTTATGTCAAATATCTAGTTTAAAGGACTAGGCAAGCAAATACATGTACTTGTACAAAAGTTCTACTCAATCATTTTAGAGTCATTGCTAATGTCAAAGGCCAAGATCATATGTGGGATTTTATGGTACATAAGTCATTATATATATATATACCTTGTGGTCTCGAACTTGGAAGCAATCTTGCATTTCAGATGGAAGTGCATTTTGAAGTAAGGATTCTACATCTTCCCTAGTTGGTTCTGCATGCAGATCTGGAATGAGGTTGATGTACCTAAGCAAAATATGAATATCTGAATTAAATGTTATAACTCCTGTTCAAAGTTGCAAACATAAAATAAAGCAGAGGCGGTGAAAAAAAAAAAAGAAAACGCATAAGAGGTGTTTTTTTGTATTAAAAGAAAATTACAAGGAACTCATAGAGCATTTGTTTTTCTCAAATAAGATAATTATTATCAATCTTTATGTAACAATGAAAGACATTTATTTATTGTTCCGCAACTCTACTCATAACTCTACTTATGCCAGCCAAATATTTGTTGATACCCTCGAGCCTCTTTGATATGTTTATACAACAGTGGTGATAAACAGGGAAAACTGCATTTATTTACCTCTGTTTTACGGAATCTGCATTGGAATCTACTCTATATGTCAACTTCTCAAGGAAAAATATGATTGTACACTTGCATTTTTAAGATATCTTGCAAATAGGCGAGTAGATAGATTAAGTTGAAAAATGATGAAAAATGACTGCGTTTTTGTGGAGGTAGCAAAAGCCTAATTATTTTTAAAATTTATATGACTATATTTTTCATATCTTTATCAGAGATCGCCATGATTTATGCTATTCTAAACATTTTACGACTTTGGTAAATAAGTTACAAACCTTTCCATGAAATTCTTTATTGTTATCTCAACAGAAAGTCCGTGATTTCGAAGTTTAGCCATCTGCAAGATTCCACTGTATCTCAACTGCTTTCTAACAACCACTTTGTCAAACGAACTGCTCTTTGGATCCTCGTTTGGTTTTATGCACCTAGAAGTATAAAATATTTACGTTAGTTAACTTATTAAATAGCTATAGCAGAAAATGAGTTAGGCTTTGAAAACTGCATGTAGTTTTAATCTTGGCCACGCCAATAAAATTTTTCGTTCGTCTGACCTGCGTACTCGTATTTAAACAAAACTATACAAATAATATTAATTTCAATTTCCCGCACCATGGAAATTCTGTGCTATTTTCTATTCCATTTCCGCTCTATTTTTCATATCTTAAATCTGTTTACTATGCAAAGCAGAAAAAATATAAATGTCCGCTCAAATTTTTTCACGCTCCTAAAAATTTGCCTACAAAAAAGTAATAATATTATTTAACCGCTTGTCCGCTCGTACTTTTTTTCATCAAACGTCCGACGAACAATAAATTAAATTAGTGTGGCCCTTGAAGTATATTTCTTAACCTTAGAGTATGGGCCTCTACCTCACAAAATGGGTCGTTGAACGTTCCAGTTCTCTGATCAGCTCATTCACTGACTCCTTAAAAACAATTGTGTATTAAAAATTTCATTAAAAATATTATAAATTTCTGATTACTATACTTTTTGGCAAATGAAATTTAATCCAATGATGCACACTTATTTGTAATGATTATTTTATAGAAAAATATATAATAAGCATACTGTGAGATCAATTTTTCCAACTTTCCTTTTTCAGAATATCTTTTTTTTGGTTTTGTTTTTATTTTTTTATTCTATTTTTTTGTGGATATTCTAAATTTTTGAAACAATTTTGTAAGTCTTATCTTTTTTTTGTATGAAAATTCATATGTTACTGACAAAATGATTGATAATTATTTTTTTGATTGAGTACGGTTACCCATGAAACATACAAAAATGAACAGTCACGACGACATAAAATGGTAAAATGCTAATGATGAAAATATGTAGAGTGTAAACGAAGCAAAACACGCCTTGTATAGTGCAAAACATATCATCTAGAATGTGCTTTAGAGAATTACATTACCCTGTAGGAGTTAAGAGCAGTCTTTGACTTTCTTCTTTGACCATTATTGTTTCTAGAATAAAACATATTTCAAATAGTTTTTCTTTAGATATTTTTATCAGACATATTAGTGCGTATGCATGCAATATCCTTAGTCTTCACATCCAATCTTTCATATTTGTATGTATGATTGACAAGTAGGGTGAGTTAACCATGCATCGGACACATACCTTGCTTCGGACAACTTAAAACTATAAACTTTCATTGAACCTCAGTGTCTCCGTGTTTTTACTTGTTTCTAACTTAAAGGTGAAGATTCACCCTTTTTATTGATGCCGATTTTTAGCTTCATGCTGTGATAAAAATACCACAAGAATGGCCTTGAAATTACGTCATATTTTGCATTATCAAAGGGGAGTAACCAGAATTTTACGATTTTGCAATTTTTAGCGTTGTCGTTCTTTTAAATAGACTTCAACGGAACGAGTCGGACCTAGGTAAAATTTGTTAATGATTGATAATTGTAAAGATTTATTTTTTTTAATTTTACTTCAATGTTTGTAGAATATTTTTTAGAGTTGTTTTTTACTAGTATGTTTATTTCACCATACATCAGACACATATTAACCATGCATCGGCCACTTTCCAATGCATGGCTTATTTCTTCCATTTTCATATAAAACCCAAATGACAGCTGTTTTTTGCCGAAAAAAGAAAATAAAAACTCTAAATTTTTAGTGAAAATATAAGTTATCGATATATGACAACTAGAAGTGGGCTCAATTTATTTTTTTAAAACTGGATGATGATAACCCAAGAGACAAAGGCGCGAGATGGCATATTACTAGCATTGTGAAGCCTTTCTAAAGCGATGTGATGCACCTAAAAGCTCTTCACATTTGTGGATCGAAATAGTCATTCAAATTTAACTATAAGGTTAATTTTGAAATAAAAGATAAAAATGTTTCGACATTACTAATTTTAAAGCACCGAGATCAAGGTATGATATTTTTTCGTTCAAAATACTGTATGTCCGATGCATGGTGAATATTGTCCGAACCATGGTGTATTCTGACTTATTTCGAAAAAATCGTTTTTTAGTGATATTTTCTCAATAAATAACACACGATTGTGTCAAAAAATTATATTATAACCGCATACTACATGTTAAGCTCCATTCTGATAATATTCGGTCGGTAGCGATATCGCTAGATCTTGTTGAAGTGCGAGGGTGTCCGATGCATGGTGAATTCACCCTATATACTAACCCTTAACAGGATAGATACTTAGTTGAAAACAGAATATACCCTGCTTACTCACAATCATTAGCATAAAATAATCATTCAAGGCATTGAAACAAAATACAGTTTCAAGTTTATATTTACAAGTAAAGAACATTGAAAATGTTATTAATTATCTCTTGTCATAAATGAATATGAACAACATGACAAATGACTAAAATATATTGAGACTATGATGTAGATAGTGCATCTACCTTGAGAAAGTACCCGAAAGATCTGCCGAAAACAAGAACTGTATTTGCCTGTCATTGCTTTTCTTCATGACGTTTCCCAAGTCTTCAGTAAGCGTGTCTCGATTCTTCTCAAGAATACTTTCACAATTATACCAAACCTACAAGAGCCATGTTTAAAAAGCTCATTAAAGGGTAATGGTATATATTAATATTCTTACGGTGTAAAAAGACTTTGTCAGCAAGTGAGCTAAAATAGGTTAGTGAACATTACAGACATCTGGCTCCAGTACCATAAACTGAGATTAGACTTGTCAAAAGTTTTATTCTAAATATCTTGAGTTTTATTTTACAAATGTTTTTAAAAAAATGCATGCTTGTATAGTAATCATATACAAATACGTGATGAAAATTTTGTTCGATTATCAAAATAACTTCAGAAGTTAAATTCATTTGAAATTTTGACCTGAGTCTGTTCTCAGTTTATAGTCTTGAGGCCTGTTTATATTGAATATTGTATACAAATGCTTTCTGCGAGTTTTTACCTCCCCTGCATGGTGTTTAATGCAAAACTCTGTTGGACATCTTTGTCTGAATTCTATGAGTTGTGGAGTATGATCTCTGAGGTTCCATTGCAATCTTACCACTAAATGCTGGTCTCTACCATAAGGCGGTGAAGATTCCGTGCATAGTGTTGACCATATTCCTATCATCTGTATGATAAAAATTTTATGCACATGTGTATACATTTTCAAAATTAACACAACTTCCTTTTTAATTTGTTCATAATTAAGCAATAACATTTCAAGATTTATAGTGTTTGCTTTAAAACAAGTTGATACATTGAATTATCCATGATGATGAAGAGAATCAATTACCTTATTTTCAAAAATGTCAACAATATTTTCATTTTCTATTTTGATGGCCAAAAGGTCGGGATCAATATTTTCGTCTTCGTAAATTTCCTTTTCACTCTCAATGATCTTATCAAACATGAAAATCTGCAGTTTGTCATAAAGCAAGTTAATACACATTTGTTCAAATCTGTTTACTTGTAGATTCTCAAACCCCGGCATGTCAAGAATTCCTATGTTGGCTTCTTCTTGGTTTCTTTCAAAATAATGTCAAATGCAATAAAAACTAAACATCTGTTTGCATCTTCCTTCATAGAAGACATTTTTTAAAAATCCATATTGATTTTTTACTTCAATTGATACATGTACATCTTTGCAGATTTGGAAATTTAATCAAAAAGCTTTTTTAAATAACTTTTATATCTTAAAAAATATACCCTGATTTTAATCGATGCAAATTCTTGTTGATTTTCCAGACAACCCACCCAAACAATCGTTCATATGTGTGCTTTGCCAAAGTATCTCTCCTAATTTCAGCGTCCTGTACAGTATTGTGTGGGATTTTGTCACCTAGGAAAGAAATGTTTATTGATGATGGAAAAAGAAAATGATGAACTATTTTTACGGATACCCAGAATTTTTAAAACCAAACAATTAACCATAAGGTTTGACAAAGCGTGAATACCGTTATCATAATATATCACCTCTCTAAATAGTAACACAATTGTTCTAAATTATCAGTCTGGCATGTGAATCAAAGATATTTTAACACTGAGGTACATGTATATCCATGAAGTACCAAGTAAAGAATTGCAAACTTTTCTTGAATAATGAACTTTCTCTCAATTGCAACTTCAAAAATATAAACTAGAAGAAATTTTATGTTAAAAGATTTGAGTACCCTGTCCCTTTGAAAGTGACAGGTAATTATAAGCATAAGTTGAGAAAGATGTAAACCATTTGGCGAAATGAAATCGGTCAATTGTGTTGAATATTTAAAAAATAAAATTGATTAAGTGGGGTTTTGCTGTGACTTTTTCTTATTTTGAGTAAAAAGGTGTTTCATACAGATGCATGTCACATTAGTTCGAAATGCGCCTGAAAAATACATTATTACATGTAAGGTATATGTATATATTTTGCTTTCATTGCCATTAAGAATTAATTCCCTTTTTGGTAGCACTGACAATCTTTGCTACTAAATGTTTTTTCGCCTCATTATGCCCGGTGTACTGGAGCAAAACTCTTTCTAAAGCGGACTGTACCCCTCCCCCTAGAAATGCGTTTGGGTGTTTTCTGATTTAATTCAAAACTTTTCCGAGTGGGATTCTCTTTAGCGCGTAATACTCCTCCATCCACCACCACCCACCCTCTTTCCCAGGAGAAATGGAAATATTCCTGAACTCATCCTTGATTTTATTTACAGATCTCCCTCTTTCTTTGTATACGCATGTGTTATTTACTGAGCCAGGGAAGAATATATCACTGATATAAATGTCAAGAGGTCACTAATCTCACAGTAACTCATGTTGTCGAGTGGCTATTTTTCTGGAACCCCCATAACATTGTTTGCTGGAATCCATTATTATCATTTTTTTTTTATTTAAGAAGATCTTAATTCATTGGTGGATCAATACAACCGTGGATAATAAAATAGTTATCCTCATCAATCAGTAAATTCGTAAACCATCCAATCCCATCTCCTATCCAAACATCCAGACATGTGCGTTAAGGGTGTCATATCTATCTTTGAACTTTCTGTTTTAATACACTGATCAATTAGGAATCCAGCTTTAATTAAAATGAACTTATGTTTTGTTTTCGAATAGCTAAATTGTTTAGTTGATCAAAAATATTCATCGTTAAATCAATAAGTGTTTTTATTCTTCAAATTAGTTAACTTGTAAACTATCTTGTGACTTTTAAAATACTGTTTGGTTATTATTTTACTCCATGGCTACAATGACTCTGGCGTTTGACAATTGACTATAAATCATATCTGCAGTATATTTTAGAATAAGTGCTGGGAATTGTTCAGTTTCAAGTCATTTTCCTAGTAGCATATGAGGCGGAGGAATTTTCTACACAAGTGCTAAAATAACTTTGACCTTGTGATATTAATTTCTTAAATTTCAGATGTCTTCAATAAATTAAATCAATTTTCGAGACGGATTTTTTTTCATCGGTTGGGTTTTAAAGGGAACAGAATCGAATGATGGGCAGATAGGATGCTTTTTAGAGCGTTTTAACTTTAATGATTGATTGATTGTATGTTGTTTTACGTCCCATTGGAGAATTTTTCACTTATATAGAGATGTCGCCATATATCGGTGAAGGGCTTCAAATTTTGACCTTTACTCGGCACTCAGGGCCATTAAGCAGTGTGGGATCTTTATCGTGCCAAGGCCTGCCGTGACCCGGGACCTCGGTTTTTAAGGTCTCATCCGAAGGACCCGCAACTTTCACTTCAAAGTGCCGAGCGCATGGCGAAAGAACAGTTGCTACCTATTTTTTTTTATCGACTTAGGTCAGTCGCAGCCGAGATTCGAACTCACGGCCTTTCGATCAAGGAGTGAGCGCTCTACCGACTGAGCTACCAAGAAAGGTTTTTAACTTTAAGGGCTTGCGGATACGGAAGAGAAAATGTTACAGAATGTGCATTAATTTTCTTCCATTTGTTTAATCTCCTAACTCTAATGTAAAACAGGAATTTTATTGCTTGCAAAAAGTACATCTCACCAGCACTGAATGTCTTCAACAGCAGGCCTTTCTTCAAATCATCAGATTTAACACTCATCAATTCTGCAACTTTGAAATCATAGAAAAAAAAACATTTTCATTTAATTCCACTAATAGAATTTATAAACGCTTAGCGTGAAAAAGAAATCGATATTATAGAAATTTGTCACATTTTATTTTTTCAATATCCTGACTTTCAAATTCTAATCCATGTGATGCTAGATATAAACACATTTCATATCAAGTTATGATGTATGAAAAATTCAATAAATCATGATATCCTACCCTGCTCCAGTTTTTCTTCGTTCTTTACTTTTATCTTATCAACCTCTCTTACTGGTTTAACAAATGTTATCTCACTAAGCAGTAAAATGGCAGCTAGCATTTTTGTCAGAAATATAAATTCCTAGTTGAGGTAAATGAGAGATGTTTTTTTAAACAAATGAAAAGAAAGGTGAAAAAAACGAACAACAAACACATACTTAGCAAAAATTAATAAATAAAAAAAAAGAATAAACGAAAAATTAAAATAGAAAAGCAACTCATCTAAATTAAACTGGGTTGGAAGGAAACAAAATATTATTTCTGCTTGATATCTGTGAATTGTCAAGGCAAAATTTATAACGACACAAAATGTAACAAATTGGGATTATTAAATTTTACGCTATGTTATGACGTCGAGATTAACGCAAAATGTAATAAAAAACTTTATAAAATTAACATTTTAATTTAGATGTAATTGTTGACTAATTGAAAAAAAACCCCGACTTTCTTAAATTTGTCAAAATGGTATCTAGTAATTACTTGTAACTGTATTAATACCAAAAAATATAAACTTTCTTTAAAAAGCATCTATTATTTCAAGATAAAAAGCTATTAAGTACTTTTTTGTGCATTATTCATTTTGCATCAAGTACACCACAATATGTAATAATATAATAATGCAAAACATTTCATTAAAAAAAGTGTTAATATATTTTGCGTTAAACTCGACGCAAAATGTGAGAAAGCAAAAAGATATAATCCAGAAAATGTGTTAATACAACTTGCTTTATTAATCTCTGCGTTATACTCAACACAGTATGTAATAATGCAAAAATATAATATGCTGTAATCCCAGTTTATTACAATTTGCGTTGTTAAGGGCCCTGTCACACCAAGCTGCGTCCACACGGAGGTATTACGGCGTTGTTAAATTTTTAAAATCGCAGTGAAATCGCAGGGAAATTGCACAAATTTCTGTAAAATTTTCATGATGTGAAGATGTCACGGCGTCCCTACGGCGACTTACGCGTTTCTACGGCGTTCTCGCGGCGTGCTTCAGCGTTCCCACGGAGATCTCTTCCCGATTGACTGCGCTTCCGCGGAGCTTTCACGGCGTGTTAGGAGTTGCCACCGCGATTTCTCGGCGTTCTCACTGCGTTGGCTGCGTTCACAATACGTTCACAATGCGTTCTTCATCACTGATGTATATTCAGAAGGAGTGTAACACATTTTTAAGATTCAAGTTACATGATGAAAAGACCTCTACTTATGCCAAGAAATATTCTTTTATTAAAAACGATCTATTTGAATAATGTAGTACTAAATTACTGATTGTTTTATTATTAAAACCCTTTTTTCCAATTATATCAATTCAGATGAGATGTGTTTTTGTCTTTTCTTTGATTTTATTATGAATGTCAAAAAAATAAATACACTGAGAAGTTGTTAAAATTTAAGTAATTCCACCGCAACTCCACTAAAACAAGAGAACAAGATCTGGTGTAATTTTTACTTCCCAATTCTACTCCTATGCTCCTGGTCAGGAGTGCAACAAATACGTTAGAATTATTGCTGATCAAATATGAGGCTATCGCTCTTGTTTTGTGAGCTGGCTGACAACGTTCTAACAACGCCGTGGAAGCGCATTGTGATCGCTAACGTACGCGGTAGAAACACCAAGGAAGCGCAATGATCGCAGTGATTACTCCTTGTTGTCGCGGTGTAATCGCAGTCAAAAAAAAATCACAAGACGATTAATCTCATTAGAAGCGTCGTAAAAGCGCGATAGAAACGCAGTGACATCTCCAAGGACTCCGCGAGATCTCCGTAGAAGCGCAGTCTACTATCACTGCGTTCATGCTGCGATCATGTGCGTCTTCACGGCGTGCGTACGGAGCTCCCACTGCGTCGTTGGAGATCTCACCGCGCTGCTAGGGCGATCAAACTACGTTTCTACTGCGTTCTTATCAGACCGCGGTCACATGGCGCGTACTTTGTGCATGCCTAAAGTGCGCGCCGTCCCCTGGCGTTCCAGGAGACCCTACACGACCCTACTTCGTTCAGTGGAGATCTCACTGCGTTGTCACAGCGCTGTGGGAGACTCTACTGCGCTCACCTCGGCGTTTTGCATTTTTTATGGACGCCATGTGATCGCTGTGAGGACGCAGTCCCGGTGTGACAGGGGTTTTACAATGCATACTATTCTTGATAAGACACGTAGGACAGTTTATCTTACATAGGGTGACACCGCAAAGTTGTCAAGGCCCTTTTTGATATCATGGTACTGTTTAAGATATTTTTCTTTTTCATGTAAATCTTCATTACTTCCAAGAAGTATTCTAAAAATCAATAAAAATAAAGAGCATACATCTTATTCATAGTATGAATCTCTAAATGCTAATCTAGAAATTAAGAAGTGTCTACAAATTATGCGTTTCTTAATTCTCTATCCTAAAAAGGGGCACGATCTTCATCTTGAGCTCCAATTAGCAAAGTTGATCACATGTACCAGACACTTGATTAATCACACAGGTAATTTCTCATTAATTCATATTAAAACTTCACATGTAAATTATCAGAGCAAATTGTACTTAACATTATGTTTATTCTTAGCATTACCAAGAAGATGGGAGAACATGGCGTTCAAAATGCCTATAGCTTTCTAAGTATAGAAATAAAGTTTTTGTGAATTTAGTATTTTTGTAGGATTCTTATTATTCAATGGTATGAATTTATGTCAAAACTTTTCTGCAGAAAATTCTTTCAGCAAAAATTATTCTATGATTTAAAAAAAATACGGCATTCTTAGAGTTCGAACCCAAGCAATATAAACACCAATATCATTTTTTCCTTAAAACTAACACGTTAATCATTACGCTACACAATTCATGACAACTAGCGTCATGAAAATCAAGTTTTCAATATGACACTTGACTAAACAGACTTCAAATATTTCTCCAAAAGATACGAATGTTGTCATAAAACTGTATTTAAAAGGTATAATGGGTCTTTTCTCCATGTTTTCTCCATGTTTTGGTGACCAAAAAATGTATATCTTTATTCATACTTTGAGGATATACGTTCAAAAAATAGTGAGAAGTCCCAGTCATTTGAAAAATTGTCTGTTAGTATGAAAAAATGATTATTTTTGCCCTCTTTAGCGTGTGTATGCTATTTCATAGACGAATAATTTAAAGTATATACAGTGTATTGATGTTAAATGAAATATCAAACAAAATTTTGTTATAATTGCGATTTAATTTTTTTTATCACTTTCTTATTTGTCCCACCATAGGTTTTTTGCTCGCCTTGTTCGACAATCTTCTTTAGAATCGTAAAAAATCACGCGAAATTTTCGGTGTCTCTTACGTGTAAACTTCTTTCCTCTGCAGGTGAAATTTTTGCTTTTCTTCAGCAGACAGACCCTCACATAAAGCATAGAAAATGTGGAAATTTCCCTCTTTACAATTTTCCGTCCTGGCCACAACCCGATTTTTGTCAAGCATGACGTGTCGCACATTGGCTTTAGTAATAGAACGGGAATTGTCAGTTAAGAATGCAAAAAAAAAAAAAAAAAAAAAAAAAAAAAATAACATGATGTATGACAGACACACATAACAAGATTCACAAAAGATATGGACTATGATCGAAAAACTCATGGGCTTAGCTGGTCTATAAACCTTTTCTACAAAAGGTTCACCATACAAAAATGTAAATACCGTATTAATAATCTGAACAGATACCTCCAATGAGTTTTTCATCTCTAAAGCTTATCTGTAGAAGCCTTGCAAATCTGCTAGCATTGGAATTTATTTTCGTTCTTGCGTTTCCGAAGCTTTCGAGCACAACATCAAGCTGTAAAAATCATTACATGAATTTTTTTCGAGGAAATTTATTTTTAACTGTATTTATTTTTTTTAAATCAACCAATACTGTGTGTTACCTTGAGAATTTTGCTTTTCAATTCTTCGATTCCTTGGTCACAAATGCATGTATGCATCAGGTGTTGTACCAAGTATTTTGTGTTTTCTGTCTTTCCCGCACCTGATTCACCACAGAAAATTATTGTCTGGTTTCCGTCGGTCTGACACATTCGTCGATACGCTCTATTTGCCACATTGAAAATATGTGGAGGGAGTCTAGTATCAAAATGTTTCCAATGGTATTTTCCATGGTCCTGAAATTATAGTGTTCTTAAATAAATATGCTTATTTAAAACATTCTATTTGGTATACAAATGTATTACTTCATATAAATGTTGCAAAGCACCTTTTCCAATAAATACAGAAAAAAAAATATACCGTGGAAACTGTCTACTATGGAATCATTAGAATTCGTGGGGGCCAATTTTCGTTGATTAAATGCTTAAATTATACAGGTTCGTGGCGATGCAATTACGTGTATTCACTCGATCATAGAAAGGAAAATATGACTTTGAAACCTTAGTATATTGATTTGTGGAGGATGTAAATTCGTGGATGAACGGTACCCACGAATTCCACGGATAATTGGCCACCACGATATCTAATGATTCCACAGTAACCTGACCCATGTGCAATCCATTTCAGGATAAATCCCAACCCTTATTTAAATTTCCATTTCACAGTTTTTCACTATGTTCTTATAACGACACCCTGTCTATTCCGACACAATTTTTTTTATCTCCAAGTGCATGTCAGATCAGACAAATTTCACTGTATTATATTTTTGAAAAATCCCTGATACGATTTCTCATGAAAACTACATACAGTTTTAGTGTTATGAGTTTACTAATCTAAAGATAGATACTTAAAAATACCAAATTACACGTTTGTCTTACCTCATTTTTATAAATAGCCAGTTCCTTGCCAGGATTAACCACAAGCAATATTTCTCCAACGTTGGTCTTTAGAATTCAATGAGAAACAAATGAGCAATTCCAATACACTGAAGTGCATCAAAATACTGGCTAATCAAAGAGAACGTTTTTTGATGGAAAATTAAGTTCTTCGGTCTCAGCACCACATAAAAAAGATTTTACACACATATTTCACGTCATCGAATTAAAATGCTGACGTTCCTTGAATTACTTGAGCTTTTTTGAAGATTTTAATGATACTTTTATTTCTCTCTCTGTCAATAATCAACTTCTCATTTTTTCTTCTTTATTGATGTATATAAAATGACAATTCTTTTCATTTGCTTCATTATGATAAGCCTTGAAATAGAAAATTTTCCTACGCTTGCATCTTAAGATATTATACATATAGATGTACAACATGGCTGTTGTTGCACTCCTGACAACGACTGTATAAAACTTCAGAAAAAAGAAGCACAAATTACATGTACTAAAGAACATGTTTTAATTGTTACAGTAAGGTTGCTGTCGATTTATCTTAATTTTTTTAGGTGGTTTGTTTCGAAAATTCATTAAAAAATAAACAAAAGGATATAAACACATCTAGATTGTGTTGAAGGAAATGTTTCAAATAATAGCAACGGCGTCAAATTAGTTCTAAATCATTCAAGTAGCTGCTTTTTGATCAAGATTATAATAATTACAACGAAAAAAAAGTAATTTCGTCCCCTGAATTTTTTTTTTATTTTAAGCATTTTACTCCTAACAGTGGAAATTTGGATCTGAATCGCAGACAGATCTTATAATTGATTGATTTAGCAAGTCAAACTGTACTTTGTCCGTCTTTGTATTCACAAAAAAAAGAGAAAGAAAGCAAAAAATTATATATTGAAGAAAGTTTTTTTCAAGCTTGGAATAAACCATCAGTTGTTGCACTCCTGATAGATATAGACAGGTATACATAGATATTTGATTCTCTGAAATGCTGCTTATAATTCATAAAATATTTAAAACTTTAAATGGTATATCAGACATTATTTTCAACATTTTGAATTTGTGTATGTGTGTGTGTTTTGTTTGTTTGTTTTTGTTTGTTTGTTTGTTTGTAATTCTTTTGTTCATTGACTTCATCGCTCTTAAAAATAAATGTTTTCTTGGCACTATAATTTTTGCATTTTTCTGTTACTCTGAGTCTCCTGACATGGTATTGCATTTTTTCAGCACTAATTTTGGCCAAATCTTTGTTTAAACAAAGCTACTATAGTCTACATTCAAAGCTCAATATATTGAATTTTATCAAAAGAGTCCTCATTTCCTTTCCAACATGAACTATTAAAATTGATTGAATGGATATTAAAGAAATAGAAATTGTCAAAATGCTTTAAAAAAAGTTTAGCACTCCTGAAATTTTTAGCATTATTTTTGGGCATCACTCTTTGCCACTTCAATTATATTTGAGATACTTGGCAGGAATTAAGCCAATATCAAAAGAAATAGGGAGAGACAAAAAAAAATATTCACACAGACCTTGTTAGAAAATATAACCTATCACTGGGTCGTTTCGTGTTTCATACCAATTGTACGGCCTTTGATTTTAAACTAAATTTTACTAAGGAATATTCCGTCTACCTGATGAATACATAAGGCTTACGGTGTGTTTTTTTCCGGTTGACAGGGGATTATTGACTACAGACATCATTCAGTGTATTGTTTGTTAATTACTTAATTTTGACATGTTCTGCTGTCCGATTTTTGCAGCTTTTAATTCTGGATAAATTTGAAATAAATCACAATATTTTAAAATGTTCAAAAACATCATTCGAATGTATTGTTAAAACATTTCTACAAATTTGGATATAATATGACGTTCAGTAAAAATCCGCGAGCTTTCCGAACAACCCTCGTATATTTCAGTAAACCCCTATGTTTTTTAAACATAAAGTTTTTGTAAGAGTGTTCAATCGCAATAACCATCAATGTCATTTGAATGTTATTCACTGAACATGATATCAATTATGCGTAGAACTTTCAATAATTGCATTATGTGTCAAAGCATGGAAAACATATCTTTAACTTTTATATTTTCTGTTTAGATCTTGTCATCAATTTCTCGTCAGTTGATATCAACGACCAGGAAGGTAATTCGTCACGTGCAATATACCTGATGTTAGATATGTAGGATGAAAATACACGTTTGAAGGTTAAGCCGGTAAAAAAAATGACGAGGCATTTTATAACTTTTCGTCTGAGGACACAACTTGATGCAGATAATATTACATAACTCTCTGTTGAAGTTACAATGAAAAGACCTCTTACATTTCATAGGAAATCAACAGAACATTTTCATTGTTTAAATTCACAATGTCATTTAAAACTACTGGTTTCAAATACAACCATGTCTGAGGAAGAACACGAAAGAATCAGCTATATCAACTTTATAAAGAAATAATGTGGAAACTGTTTTTACCAAATGCAGATATGTTTTGAGAAGAAATGCACGTCTTATTTTCGCAAAAAAGTCATCTTTCTGTACATTAGGCGTAAATCGTTTTTATTTTATAAAATGTTGTGACTGAGTTTACAAATGTTAACTTTACTAGAACTATAATTGCTTATTTTTCTTTAATACTAATACTAGTATTTTTATCTACCTATCTACCTCAAAATGAATTATAAAAAACATTGTTTCATATTACAATTTAAAAAAAAAAATCAAAAAATTATCTTGATATATGCTCTTCAGAATCGATGAATTATCTTAACATCAACTTGGGTGTAAAAAAAGCATTGCATGTTCATTAAAATTCATTGTTGTGTGTCTACGAAACAATTAGTATTTAATTTAGACAATTTGTAATTGTAAATAAGGCACCCACACCCACACATACACACACGCACGCATATACACACGCAGAAGGGGGAAGGGGGAGGGGTTTCCAACAAAAAAATACATTAATTATACGAGAGACTACTTTCAAGAAACCAAATGAGAATTAATACTTACATATATTTTGTGCTCCTCATATCTCTTTTTAATCAAGTTCAAAATAATGTCCCAAGAAAGGTCATTCACCCGGCAAATGTCTTCTATTTTCTCCATTACGTGTGCCCTAAACGTAGAAAAGTCAGGATGATAACTTGAGATTAAGCTGCAACGCACTGTGAGCTTTCCAACAGAAAATGCGTTTCACTTTATGCACATCTATTTTTATTATACGATTCATCGAATGCATGTCCTATTTTCTACGGGGGAAAAAAACTTGGAATGTACTTAGATTAAAAAAAAATGTTGACATTTTTTTTTCAAAATTTCAATGAAAACAACATTGTGTCAAAGCATTTTTTCCTGTAAAGTAATATAGACCAAAATCATAGAAGGAATAATTTCTTAATATTGCTTTTATACTTAGCCATGAGCTATTCATATTCCAAATTTGTAGCATTCATCCAGGAGATAATGGGACTAAACATGATTAAGGAAACTGACAAGGAAACTGTCAGATTCAGGAATCAAAAAGAGAGAGAGAGAAAAAAAATGAGACCGTAAAAAAGAGGCCCAGGGGCCTTCACGGATCCATGGAATGGTAAATACTAATATAATAACAACAGAATAAACAGAAACCCAAAAGCGATAAAAAAGGACCAACAAAGGTTGACAGTTAGTTAGTCTAGCAATCCTTAACAACTCAGAAACTTGCTTGTGTATGCCAGTGCTATCTACACTCTATCACCAAACATGACATGACATAAAACAAAATATTCAGCGCACATCCTTCACGATCCTAACATTATACTGGCCTCTCTTGTTCTTGATATAATATTTAATATACAAATATAAGTATCTTTAGTTTAATTTTTATTCATTTATTATTTACAAGTCTACAAGACTATCAAAACTTACGAAGTACTTTTTTATATAATACATGTTAAAATTATCGTATAATTCTTTTTCTCAATTTACCTATCAGTTGCATTATTTATATGAATTAGTTATCACAAGTGAATGAAAAAAGATCTTCTCTTAAAGCAGAAAAAATATTCCAGTACAAGATACATGATCATAATAGAGCCCAACTCCAACCTTAAAACACCCATTTCATGGGTCATGAATTTCACAATTCTGGAAGAACGTTTTCTCATCATAATCATCCATTTAGTTCGTCTGCTCAGTGGCAAACAAGAAGATTTTCAAAGAATTGATACATTTTCATAAAATTATCAATAGAGTCTCGCCCAAACACCAGAACTCCTGACCCAGGGAAACAAATTTCACATTTTCAAAGTAGTATCCTTGGTAATATAACTATGTGATAAGTTTGTCCGCTTAATACCTGGGATCAGAGGATAAGATGTTCAAAGAATTAATACATTTTCACTGTATGATCAAAAGAGCCCTCATAACTCTATAACTCCTGACCCAGGGGCCATGAATTTCAAAATTTTGAAAGAAACTAAGCATTCTTGCTCTTTCTAGCTCCTATAGAACTAAGTTTGACTGCTTAATAACCAAGAGAGATTTTCAAAGAGTTATTGAATTTTCACTATATGATCATTAAAGCCCTTTCCCAACTCCAGAATCCCTGACCCAGGGGCCATCATTTCTGTTTATCATAACAATGCACTTAATTTCTATCATAAAAACCTAGGAGCAGAGAAGAAAATTTTCAAAGAATCAAGGCATTTTCAATATATAACCAATGAAGCCCAGATCTAGC